AAGTACCTGCAATTGTCCACAAACAGTACAGGAGTTGGGCCAACGTGAGTAACTCGCTCCCCAGGATTGTGTCCCTGATCTTATCTTCCAGGAAGATAATTCAAGAGTGATTGGTTCCAGCAATCCAGAGACTCCTCAAACAACTCAATCTCCTGAGGGAGACATCGAATCACTGGTTAGCCTCTAAGAAGACAAAACTCTGAAATTTCTCTCCAGACCTAAAGATTCTCAAAAACTCCAGAATATGAATCCAGTTTTAAACCTCAGAATAACAATTCTGATCAATTGCCTTCACTGCTACTAATACAGGAGCAATCATGTTCAACATGTAATCAATTGTGTTAGTAAGACTTTTTCTACATATTCACTATTCTACCATTCTTCCTGACAACTTATATTACCAGACAACAACATCAACTTGTCCTGCAGCTCAGTGGTTGAGCACTCGCTTTGCAAGCGAGAGACCCGAGTTCAATTCCTGGCAGGGCGAAACCTTGGGCAAGTTTCCTTACTCCACACAGAGCCTAATAATAATCCCTCCAAAACCAAAAACAATAATAAATTGGTCATTTTCAATCTACGTGTGGGACATTGCTGTGCACAATTGGCTGCCGTGTTCGCCCACAAATACAGTCAATTCACTTTACAGTGTGTTCTGTGAAGCGCTTTGGGACGTCCTCCCGACGTGAAAAGCGCTATACCAAATGCAAGGATTATTATTATTATTGTGCCCTTCACACAGGATAGCATCTTGGAGCACTTTAACAGTGGCAGGGTTGGAGATGAACAAGGGAGAAGGGGGAGGCTTGATTTACGGAGAGATAAAGAGCGGCGAGGTGTAGGGAATGAGACAAGAAGTTCCAGAGATTAGTGGTGTAGATAACCCTACTCAGTGCAATGCAGCAGATGACACATGTCAATACTGATCACAAGAGTAGTCTTTCAAGACCTGCTCCCATTGAAATTACTGACACAATTGCACTGTTTTTGCACATTTGTTTTTTTTCTTCAAAACCATGCCATGTTTCATGTATATCAAGCATCACACAAACATTTACATTTGAACTAGTTTATTTATAGTCTAACAAGAATGACTTGTCACACAACCAACACTCAACTGCATAGTACCATAACTTTAGTTTAGTCAGTTCACAATTTTAATATAATGTAACAAAATATGATCACATTGATTATTCATTTTAAAATGGGATTTGATGCAGAAAAAGTTACCCACAGCTTAAAAGTGTTTAGAAAGAAGAAAATACACACATCTTTTATATAAAAAAATTAACATTATTTTCAGTCTTTATCAAAACAATGAACACAATACTGCAGTTTAAAGAAGTCTTGTATTTTTTAGGGTGAATATTGTAATATGTTATTTGTTAAATATTACCATTGATATCACAATTTTGATAAAAATTTATTCAGTGAGACAAAACTGCCCATGAATGTAAACCACCCCCCACCAACTCTGACACAATGGTTGGGCTAAAAATGTAGCACTGGATTTGCCATCCATGGAGACCAGCAGGTTTCACTTAATCCAACAAAAAGAATGAAGGATAATTCAGTATCCCATAACCATACACTCCAATAATCTGATCCACAAGCCATGAGTGCAACAGCTATCATGGGTCAACTTATTGTAGGGTCTACTATTCTAACTGAGTTGGGGTTGCCAGGGGTCACTCCAGTGACTCTTCTCATCAACACTGAGCACAGCTACCAACAATATAAAAATGATCACCGGTGATAATTTACAAACACTGCAATTTTCACCTCTTTATTTCTTAAACATGGAGTTAATAATGTTGTGCAAGCAAAATCTGGGAATTTCTTCTTGCGTGGAGCCCGGTCGAGTTCTGAAACTCCGCAAGGCAACTTGTTGTTTGGATCTGTGTTTTGAACTCTCATTTTAGGTTCCAAGATGCCAACTAAACGTGAGTTAAAAATGAATCTCATTTTTCTACCCAGACACCCTCCCCCTCTGCATCTCATCTTTCCTTTGACAAACAACATGTGGTAATGAAAATGATCATAGCTGCTGAACTGTCACCTCTGGGAAATGGGAAGAACTTTGGTTTGGAAGCCAGAAAAATTTCCAGCAGACTTCTTGCCCTTGGGCATCACGGGCCTTCTACAAAATCACTCCCACAGTGGCACAGTCACAAATCATACGTGCCTCCTGCCAAAACACTCACACAGCCGTGGAACACTGCCATTCCTTCAGCTTCAGTCTGGGAAGGCGGATGTGACAGAAAAAACGTGCGCACCAGAAGTCTCTGCATTCCACAGCTGTATTGGGATAAACACAAAACCTTGCTACATCTGTGAAACATTAGGGACTTCGCATTCAAGGTCTAAAAATGTACCATTCACAGCAGCATTCAAAAAGGATTCGTAAATACCAAATCCACCTGCAGGAACTCAGCTCTTGGTCAGTATATTTGGTAAACTGGAGAATTTAATATTTCTGAATCCTTTTTGAATCATGTTGTGAATACAGCATTTTAGACCCCATTATCATTCTTTAACTTTTTTTTCTGTGCTCATCAAGGAAGGGAGAGGTAATCACTGGAAACGGGACATTTATTTTTCCATGTTGTCACTTAGGGGTTAGTATCAAGTTTTTCCAGGCCAGATCCAGCACCATTAGATTCAGTGAAAAGCTTTTCTTTACTTTGCCTGAGCCCCATACCTCAGGAGAGCACCTGCTTCCCAAACCAGCCACCGAGTCTCAAGGCCAAATCGATGCCAATTCTGAGGGAGTTTGTGCTGTGAGCCCACACACAATAAGGATTTGCCCTAATTCACTTACAATCAAGAAACAATGTAGACTCTACATCACCAGTTTGAAAGGCTAGGGTGCTAACACAATGCACCACCACGTTCTTTCTTCATTTCTTTTAAAAATACAAGTAAGAAAATGAAAGAGTAAATTTAATTCAAATGCAAGTCAATAATCAAAGTGAAGGGTTGACTGTGGTACGAGAAGACCCACTTTCACCTTCAATAATCATAAATTACAGTGGGAACTCACTTAGGCTTGGTTTAGTCACATCTTTTGACTTGGATGCCCCTATAATCACGACTGAAAGTGCTGTTGTGCAGGATAAAAGGTTTAACTGAAAACAAGTAAACAAGACAAAGTTGTACATATACATTTGAGTCACAGAATTATCACCGATGGTTGGAAAACAATTATCGGATTATAGAGCTCACAATTTACAGAGGTCTAAGCAGTGCAGTTTATTTTTAATATTTCTGTTCTTTCATTGCACTGGTGCCTGGGTTAACATAATACTAATCCTTGTATTTGATAGAGTAATACCTATAATGTATCAAAGCACTTCACAAAATTTGGTGACTTATGTATTTGTAGGTAATTGCAGCAGCAAATTTGCACACAGCAATGTCCCACTAATAGCCATGAAGTGAATGACAAATTTTATCTAGAGGATTGTTGGCCACAACACTTGTAGCAACTCCTAGTGTCATAAGATCTTTAACGTCCACCTGAATGGCAGACGGGGCTTTGGTTTAAAGTCTCATCCGAAGGACAGCACCTCTGACAACACAACACTAGCACTGTATTGGAATGTAAGCCTAGACCAGGACTTCAAAGTCACTACATGGGGCTTGAACCCACAACCTTCTGGACAAGATGCAAGAGTTTTGCCAACCCAGTCAGGATGACATCTATTACATACTCTGATAGTTATATTGCTTTATGTTTTCTGGGCAAGTCAGTCATGGAAGGCACATTTAATGATAGCTGGGATTCGTAACTAATAAAACCACCCAATAGGAACAAGCACACTTAGAGGAAGACTATTGTCTTGTTGCCAGTGGATAAAACAAAACAATTTTTTATTAGGATATGAAGTGAGACTATAACCTTAAATTGGGCTTCTAAAGAAAACTGGGAAAACTAGAGCAGTACAAATCAGCAGGAAGAAACCTAAAAATGAAAACAAGAAAATATTTGTTAACATAATTAGAAATGTGGTATAATTGGAAATATAATTGGAAATAATTGGAAATGTTTGGTTGTTCTCCAGTGAAATAAATTTCACTCTATTGTTTATTCCTTTTTCACTAGCCTCATCAGATCAGTGTGCTGCATTGTCCAATGATGTTCCTATCAGTGATATCAAGGATCCAAGAAGGTTACTACAACAGAGCACATGAAACATATATCAACAAATGAAGTGAAAGTTCCTTATTGACCCTTTGTTTTATTGGGTCAATCTAACACCACCTTTAGTTCACAAGCTTCTAACAACTCCTACATCTGATGTCTCTAGTGTTAGGACAGAAACATAATCAAGAAAAAAAATCCAATTTTCTAAATATAACTAAAATCAGCCTATCAGAAGCTTCTGATCTATTATAAAACACCTCAAATTTCAGTCAATTCTTAAATGATTTTCCTGTGTGTTACATACAGCACCATATTCAGACACACACAGCCCTGACTTTAGTAGGTAAACCGGGCTGAGTGCAGTATTCAAGTCGGGGAAAAAAACAACAAAGGTCTCAGTCATTCAAAGGAAAAAGTGTGACACCACAAATTAAAGAGGAGAATGGGCCTCAATTTTGTTCCATCCCTTTAGCAAATGGCCATTTTGTGCCATTATAAAGGTCTTGTGTGATCAAAGCGACCACAGAAATCAGGAATAGATTGTGTATTTTGACCACAAAATTCAATTCATAAACAAAGCCAGAAGATGATATTGTGCCAGCGATGTGTTTAATAACTGAGAATTATAAAACACATGCTAAGCACAAACAATAAGAGAAGAGAAAATACTTTTATCATTGCTTCAATTAAGTTACTTTTAGTGTCACAGGGTATCTAAGAACCTCTCTTTAGCTGAGAGTAATGTTATCATGTAATTGCGATCAGGTTATATATATATATGGATTAATAAAAAAAAGCATGTTAGAAAAACAAGTTGCATTGGCACAGACACGACGGACTGAATTCTGTGCTGCCCTCCTGTGCTGAAAATATCCGTTTCCATCTGTGCCTTCAGAAATCCACTAAATCATTAACCTTCAATGTCCTGTTAAAAACAGAGAAAGAAATTAAAATACAGTCTTGTTTTCCTTGGTGAAGATGTCCGAGTTTCTAAGTAATCTCATGGTAGTTTATGTGAGTCATCTCATCTGACACAAAGGTTCAATAAATTAGAAAGATACAAAGACATATGTCGAGAAAAGCAAAATGCACAAGGATAGCTGGAAACCATTAAGCACCAGGGCTTGTAATTTCAGTCAGGTGTTTTGTTACTGGAACAAAATGCACAACATTTTGTATGAAAGGAAATAGTGAATGGAAGTAATGAATGAAAATTCATTGTGAATATTTGCAGCACAAAATTAGTAGCTATATCAGGTCATTAATCAGTGTATTTTCAAAGATACTCTGAAGGAGGAGTGGAGGTTAAATCAATCCAGTGTTTTAAAATACCTAATTTTATTGCATCTGCAACTGTAAAATACTTTTGTATAATTTAGTACAAGAAACTCCTGTTTAAACCATCTGCCGATGACACAGTTAGTGTCACAACAACATCAAATTGCATTACATATAGCACCCTTCCATGTTCAGGAGGACATCCGAAAATAATGGACAAGTTTTTTTTTGCTGCAGTAGAATAATTTTAATTTTAGCTGGAAACTTATTTGTTGCATAGTGGACCTGCAGCTATTTATGCTTCTGATTCAAGAGGAATAAAGTCCAGTTTCCTTGATTTTGAGTTGCAATCTCTAATGTAAAATACTTTCAGATAGGAGAGCAGCAGTTGTGCATTATCCAATTACTCTGGTTTCTAAGAGGATGGGAAATGGGCTCATTTTCAAATTTAAATCCAAACCCAAAGGTTAAATGAACGTGAATAAAGCAAGCCAAAGCTTAAATGAAGCTCCTCCATAAAGTCCCCCGAGCGCAGTCAGGGATATTTTCATGGCTTAGGTCAAACAGTCAAAAAACGCACCCGACCCCATTGCGGATTGTCCTGTTAAAGGTTGTTCACACTTACTGGGGCTAATGCTTCGTCTGATTGGGGAGGGGCTGCGGCTTCGTGATGACTATAAAAGACACAATAAGAAAAATTAGGCCTTAGTCTTTTATGTTCTATTACCCACTGAGATGGAACACAGCAAAATCAATACAAATAACACAGTACTAACTGCTTGCAATTATAATAAATAATAATAATCCTTGCATTTGATATAGCGCTTTTCACATTGGGAGGACGTCTCAAAGCACTTCACAGAATACACTGTAAAGTGAATTGACTGTATATTTGTGGGTGAACGCGGCAGCCAATTGTGCACAGCAATGTCCCACAAACAGTCGTAGATTGAAAATGACCAATTTATTATTGTTTTGTTTTTGGAGGGATTATTATTAGGCTCTGTGTGGAGTAAGGAAACTTGCCCAAGGTTTCGCCCTGCCTGGAATTGAACTCAGGTCTCTCGCTTGCAAAGCGAGTGCTCTAACCACTGAGCTACAGGACTCCACTTCATGACAATTGCAAAGAGGATCTGAAGTATTTATTGAGATTTCCATAAGCTGCTAAAGTGCAATAAATTAGCCTTAGATTGAAACACCATCTCCTCACAGGGTTGGAAGAGATGATTAGAATTAACCCTTTTTCAAATATTGTAAGTTATAAATATTTGAGACATCTCGAAGGCGCTATATCAAATGCAAGGATTATTATTATAATTCTGCAGCTCGTGTCCTCTCCCTTACTAAGCTTTGTGAGCCTATCACCCCTATCCTCACCTGGCTCCATGAGCTCCACATCCTCCAAAGGATTGTGTACAAGGTCCTGTCCTCAATTGTAAATCTCACCACGGTCTTGTCCCACCCTATCTCCATGACCCTCTTAAACCCTACTAACACTCCCTCCTTTCAACAAGCACTATCCTGCTTCACATTCCCCCACTCTGCCCAACCCCAAATCCTTTCGACTCTCCCCTTCAAGGTCTGTCTGAAGATCTTTCTCTTTGATGGCGTCTTTGGTCATCTTCCCCTCCCTACTCCCACACCGTTGCCCTCCACCCCCCGAATCCAACCCCCAGCTCATGCCCAAACCTTTGATTGTCCAGTGCCTTGGGACACCCTCCCGACATGAAAGGTGCTTTTTAAATATAATTTGTTGCTTACCTAATCCTGGAGAATTTAGGTGAAGGTTGTTAAAAGCAAAAGCTTGAGGAGCCACCTACTGTACCTTTGGATATTGTTGGAGTTTCACCAATTCGAACTGCACAGCTTACTATTGCGAGCACTTGTAAGCTCCCCACCGCTTGCTCTGCTAGGACCACCCTACCCGGTAGGGTATTAGTTTACAGGGCTAATATACACTAAATGGGAAGAATCACTGTTAGCACTGCAGGTCAAAGCCCGAAGTAGTAGGATATTATTACAGGCATAGAAAGGGTCAATTTAAAATGACATACCAGGGCACGGGTCGGGCTGGAAGAGCGAGAACGAACAGGACTGACACTTCTGCTCCGGCTTTTCCTTGGTGACCACTAAATCAATAGAAACACATTGGTTATGTGTAAATGTAAAAGCACCTATTCTTTTAAAAGGGAAACAGATAAACACCTGGGATGTAAAGGTGGAGAGATGAGGAGATATGGCATTAAAAGATATGCTGTAATCTCTGCCAGGACTGGGCTAAATGGTACTAATCCTATTAGCATGTTGCTAAATTCAACATTCTACTCTAATCACAAAAGCCTCACTGTGTGATGTGCCCAAGTAATAAATCACAACTTACAAAATAATTGTGTTGACATCAGACGAGTATCTCTTATGGACACTGTATAGAAGCACCATTTTATACAAACTCAGGCCACATACGTGCTGTGTAACTAACTTGCACTGGGTGATGTAGGCACAATAGTAGTTATCGTATTGTGAAATTGTAGTAGTCTAAACATTCCCCAGCATCAATTGCAATGTTTAAAAGGGAGATGAATTAGATACTTGGGAAGTATTAGTTGTTAATAATAATGTTATTAATATTATCATATAGATGCTATGGTTCTACACAGAATCACCATTACAAAGAATTGTCTTTACTCAGACGGTTCACACTGTCCCCTGCTCATAAAAGTGTAGTGTAAGTACTTTTAAAGTCAGTGTGATTTTGCTGATATGGATTCGGGTACTTGCTGAGTTAACCCAAATGCGGCTCCGAATTGGATTACTTTGCCTTCAGACATGAATGTTTTGTTCTTTGTGAAATGGGAACTTTACTGCCAGGTTACTCTATTAAAAACGTTAATACTCTATTAAAAAGATATTTCTCGCAACCATCAACTCTAGGTTTTAAATGACTTTACTCACCAGAGCTCCTCTCTTTGTGAACACCTCCCCCTTAGCAATGACGTAGTCATTTTCCATCAGAGCTGGCCAGATGTGGTAAACCACTAGAGGTGCAGTAAAGTCAGAATCATAGCTACGGCGATACCTGGTTCAAATAATAAAATATTTTACATACTTTGAAGTTTGAAATACACAGTGTCTTACAATCCATCTGCACCATGAAACGCAAGTAAGGAACCAGCATTCCTGTCAAAATTTATCTTATTCTTGTTGTCACTCCAGACATAAAAAATACACAGAAGGAAATGGTTCGGAATTGGGCCATTTGGCCCAACTTGTCTGTGCCAGTCTTTATACTTCACACTTTCTTCCACCCCTTCTCCTTCTTATTCCCCTTCTCCCTCACATATGCATCAAGTTTCCTCTTAAATACATTGATCCTTTTTTTTCCCCCCAGCTTCCAGCAATTAGTTCCAAATTCTCACGTCCTAAGTACGTCCTAAACTCCGTATTAGGTCTAATACTAGCCATTTTACATTTATGCACTCTCCTTTTGGACTCACCAACAAGCAGAAATATCTTATCAAAGTTCATCTTATTGAATCTTTTCATAATCTTAAACACATTTTCCTTAATTCAATAATCAATCCTATGTTGATTTCCTTATTACTACAGTTGTGCATTGCCTACTCAAGTGTTTCAATTTACAGTATTAGATTATCTCAGATTCCTGAAAACTGTACAACATTGTCTTGCAGATAAATCCTATTATCCGCAGTGCAATTCATCTTAAATTTTAATTTAAGATTTATGCAGAAATCAATTCAGTCTGTATTTTATAGCTGATTCTTTTGAGAAATCCTGAAAAACAGCTTCCAAATGAAGACTGAATTTAAGAATGTTGCACAACTCTGTGCAATCTTAAATTTTCAGACAAAATGTCCTAAGACTAGGTGGAAGTTTGGGTCTCAGTCTTTCTAAATATCGTACAATGTTTAAATGATCCAGGATTTAATACAGATCATAGGAAGCTGCATGACCATTTTGCAACACTACTATTTCTCAATAGTTTTTAATCATTGTCATAGCATGGAGAATGTACTCACTTGTTCTCACTGAAGAGTTCACCATCTGTTGCAAAGGCGATGTCAAGTGTTGGCTCCAGTGTTTGCATTGCAAAGGCTACACGGCACACGTCACGGATAAAAGCACTGATCAGTACAAAATCAACCTCGGGTGGGAAAGAGATCTTCGGATTGACGTTCATGCTTCGGATCACATCCTGTAGGAACATGAGTCACAAGATTTCAGATGAAGGAGGTCCTTCGGCCCATTTAATCTCATTCTTCCAGAATACCAACTCTAGCCTATTCCCGTTGTGACAACATGTGTTTTCTTAAACAAATCCAGTGTCCTATCTTCTATTGCCCTTCCTGACAACTGTTACAACCTCCACAAGTCGCTACCTTTACTAAGTTAAATTGAAAATAATTATTAAAAATATAGAAATAAAAGTAAGGGAAACTACTATAAATAGAAGGACACTTTGGTGTACAAGACTTCCCGCTGCAAGCCAGAGCCCTGAAAAGTAGAATGATCTTGGCTGAACAAGCAACAGGAATCTTGTGTTAGTTAAGACTTCCTGCAACATGCTTGATGCAACTTTCAGTAGATTTTCACTCATACGTACAGTGACGCTGGCCTGGACATCGTAGAGATCCAGGTTGCGAACGATGTAATCCATTATAGCATCATCCAGGGACTCCGGTCCGAGGTTAGAGAGCGAAAAGTTTTTCCTCACTCGCTGTTTGAACTGTCGGAAAGCTGCCTTGGCCACACTGAATGCTTCCTACATTCAAAATGATAAGCAATACTCGGGTGAGAAACAAGAAAAGGAAGAACTTGCATTTTGATATGCCTTACACATCAAAAAGCCTCAAAGCGCTATACAGGATTTTATACACATTACACATGGACATATCTCAAAGTGGTTGACAAGAATTATTGCCAATTGTAATGAGCTTTTGTTGTGGCCAAAAAAAGTTATTCAAATCCTTATTTATATTGAATTAGTTTAATCTGAAAAGGAGTCTCAGTTGGAAAATTTCAGAAGCCTTAATAGGCCTCATTGGCTTGAAGATAAGGGTGCAAAGAAAGGGGGCAGGAAATTACAGTTCCCACACCTAATTAGTACCCACTAGTCACTGCTGGAAAATACACGCGTGAATGTCAGGCTAGAACAGGGTTGGAGTTGGCTCTGATACTTCACATGTCTCACAGCACACGGACACTCACTAACTCTCTAGGATCATCAACAAAATACTACCACTTAGTCAAGGTACTAGCGGATGTTCCAAACCCTTGGAATTATAGCCCCCCACCCACCGCCACACACACACACACACACACACATAAAATACTTTCAGGATAGGCAGGGAGATGTGATAAGCAGAGAAGCTCATTAGAAAATGTCTTGGATTTGGCCTTGGAAAGAAAAAAATATCTTTGTATAGTACATGAAATCCTGCCTTGTATATTTATCCTCTTCAGATATTTTTCTAATTCCTTCCCAAAAGCTAATATGAAATATTCCTCAACCAATATCTCCAGGTAGGGAATTCCATGTTCCTGCAACAACACCAGGAACAACTTGCATTTATATAGTACCCTTCACATGAACAGCTTCTTGAAGGGCTAACAATCTTCTATGTAAAAATAACTTCTTCTAACTTATCGTGTTCCATATAAATAGACATTAAGTGTAGTTTAGATTGAGTTCAAAGACCCCAAATTCCATCTAATCTTATCCTGGATGACCATTTGTCTTAAAATTTAAGATTGTGCAGAACTGTGAAAAATTCTTAAATTCATTTATAATTGGAAAGCTGAGTTTTTAAAAAGACTTTTGACTGATCACTGGGACTTGAAGCTGACTCTCTGAATCTCCAATGGAGCTAATCGTCTGGTGTTAAGGTTTGCTGCAGTGGCTTTTTCCACCATCAGTCTCTACTTACCGTGGTGGCAATGAATATTATTTTCTGCACCATTTCTAGGTCATCAACGTAGCGTCTGAGGGCGTTTTGTGTGTTCAGTCGTTCATTGGCATAAAGATTGCCGAAGCGTGAAACCAGCCGAGCGTGGCGAGAACCACAGGTCATCTTAGCGTGGGATGGTGAATGGGTGGTCAGAGATTGGAAAGGGATGGGTGAACGACGCCCTGAGATTCTAAAAGAAAAGCGACCACCAGCATCAGAGATATCAAAACCAAAACAATAATAAATTGGTCATTTTCAATCTACGACTGTTTGTGGGACATTGCTGTGCGCAATTGGCTGCCGCGTTCGCCCACAAATATACAGTCAATTCACTTGACAGTGTGTTCTGTGAAGCGCTTTGGGACGTCCTCCCGACGTGAAAGCGCTATATCAAAATGCAAGGATTATTATTATTATTATTATATCACACACCACAATGGCAAAGACCAACGCTTCTGTGTTAACAAATCACTTTACAAAGCACACTTTGGGTACTGTTGGAATACTTGAGTCCAGGAATCAGCTTCAGCTGAGAAAACCTGGCGCAGATTAAGACCATCCAATTCCTGAAGTCAAACCACATTCTGCTCCTCGTCCAAAAACCTCAAGAAGGAAAATTCACTTGTTTCATGGAAGCCAAACCAAAGTGCTCCTCAATAGGTAAACATGTGTAAAGTTGGAGCTGATCTCACAAGACACAGATAAGTATTTCTTTACCCTGAGTGTAATTAGCAACTGCAACAAGTTACCAGCAAGAATAGATGAGGCGGGACGTTGGACTCATTTAAAAAACAATTTGATGCCATGATGGCAGGACAGTATTGTGGGAAATTCCGGTGAAGGCTGAATGGCCTTCATCTGAATCAATCTTGAGATCTTATGCGCTACTCTACCTGTCCTGAAGCATGGATTTCTCTGCATTTAGAAATCCGACTTCATCCTTCAGATGTCTGACCTGCCGCTCGTAGTCATCCAATAAATCCACTTTCAGTCTGTAACACCTGGCTTGCTCCTGAGCAGCTCTCAGCCTGCAAAAGACACAACAATGGTTTGATTCAAATATTTGAAAGAAAGTGCCAGGAGAATCTCAGAAATTCCCCAATTCCCAGTCATCACTACATTTATATGCACAGTGATTAAAATGTGATTTTCATTACAGATTTGATGTGATCCCACCACACAGAGGATACACATCAAGATCCTGATCCTCACCTTCAAAGCCTTCCATGGCCTCGCTCTCCCTACCTCTGTGACCTCCTAACAACCTACCAACCTGCTCCCTCCTTCCACTTAATGGGTTCTGTCCTGTTTCATGTCCCCCGCCTGCTCCACCGCCACTCTCTGGAACTCCATCCCTTAGTCCCTCCGCCTCATCCCCTGCCTTGCACTCCTTCAAGACCCATCTCAAGACTCTCCTCTTCAACTCTGCCTTCAATCACCCTCCTTCACCGCCTGCCCTCTACCCTCCCCATTCCCGATCCCCAGCTCGGCTCTGAAACACTGGTTGTCTGTCCAACGCCTTGGGACGTCCTCCCGATGTGAGAGGCGCTTTACAAATGTAATTTTGTTGGTGTTGTTGATCACATTGAATCTGTAAGGAAACAAGCATCTTTCACCCCATTGTATGTCAAATACATTTTCGATCAATTCCTGAAGCCCAGCCAGGGGGGAAGAGGAGAACTAAGATTTTAGCACTGCAATCTTGGATTACCTCCCAGCTGGCCCAAATATTGCTCCCAACTCTGCAGCCAGCATTTTAAGTGCTGCATCTCAGAATACTGATTTATTTATCACAGTATGTGCTAACTAACAGACAAGTACACAGAACTGAACACAGGTAAGTATCGAAGAAAAAATAACAAACTAAACATCAATTCACAACTTGGATCTTACTCAGATCTCAGTTGAAAGATTTCATCCTCTGTTGCTAGGAATGCAGATGTTGATTTGTTCTGCGTATCATCCAATTGTAGATGAGCTTCTGCTAACCTACAGCAAGGATAATGACAACAGGCATTTAGTCAAACAAAAGTATTAGCTGAGATTCTAATACACGGCTGTTCATACTGATATTAACTGGGGTAAAATAAAGGGAATCTTTTTAAGAGACAAAAAATATTAGCCAGAATTTCTCAGTTCTACATCACTTACTCCTGTTTGATAGCTCCCAGGTGACGGCGTGTTGTGGATAACTCGGCCTCCAGTTCTTCTATCTCCTGCTCGTGAGTTGCCGCTTGTTCCCTCAGTTTCTTATCTTTTTCAGCAGACTCCTAAAACCGAGAGTCCATAATAATCCTTGCATTTCATATAGCGCCTTATCACTTCATTGAGACTTCTCAAAGCTCTTCATAGAATATGCTGTAAAGTGAATTGACTGTATATTTTGTGGGTGAAACGCAGCAGCCAATTTTGCACAGCAGTGCCCACAAACAGTCGTGGATTGAGTGACCAAATACTTTTTTGAGGTATTATAATGGACAACTTGAATGTTGTTTTCTGTAGTGATGTGTGTGTGGGAGTTGTAATTTTAAAATAATTATGAAGATAAACCCTGCAACCCTCCTCCCCCACCACCACCTTACCTAAAAGATGCTGCATTATTTATTAGGCTGTCCTCTGTTGTCCTCTCAACCACCTCACACATTATTGTTTTAATTTTCTGCAGTGAGGAGTGGGTACCTTAAGGCTGCCTCAAGTAGCACAGAGTTCTTTCAGCAAAAGTAGAAAATGTGAAATACCATGGTGAAGGAGGAATTTCTCCTAGTAAGGGAGTGTCTTGGCTAACAATCTTCCCAAATAAAATTCATCATTCACTTCATGGCTCTTTGTGGGAAAATTCTGTGCACAGATTAACCGGCATGTTCACCCACAAAATACATCATTACACTTTACAGCATATGCTCTGAAGCGCTTTGAGATTTCTCAACAACATGATAAGTGTTAAGGCATTATATAAAATGCAATTGGATTATTATATATCCTCTGAAGCACTTTGAGTCATGTTCCTGACGTGGAAGGTGCTATATTAATGCAAGGATTGTTATTATCATCATCATTGTAATCAAAGCTGTAACAAGGCTACAAATCTCCTCTCAGCACGTTTTAAGTGACCGAAAACAACTACAGTATTTCAGACAAATTTGGGGAAACCAAGGGAGCTCAAACATTTTAATTAACTTTTAGCAAAATATATTTTTTCAAAATATAATTCTTTTTCAAAATATATTTTTTCAACAAAGAGTGTACTTTTTTTTCAAATTGATCATGGTTCAAAAATGGGGTGACGATTCTCCAAATTACTCATGTTGGTATAAGGGTTACGATCTGTTAATTGTTAAGGAGTAATTCTCCTTTTACAGATTGCGTTCCAATGCATGTAATCAGAATCGAGTTCTTTGAACGTAAATCATTCACATTTGTAGATTCACAAACCTCAAAGAGGGCAAGGCTGGTGTCAGAGCTTAACCTTGAAGAGAGAACTGTGAAGCTGGACCCCAACCATGGCAGGAAGCGGGATTTGATGGTACCAGCACCAGAATAAAGGCCACCTTGAAAACAAACAATGTGTTTCTATCATAACATAGATCCTACATTTTAAAAGGAGATAGCACGTGTACTGTATGAAAAGCATGAGCCATTAACGTGTTTCAGTGGTCACTTTCTACATTGATGTGAGTAGAGTTGACAAACCAATTGAAGATTTTGTCTTGTTTCTCGTTTTGAAAACGTTAGTCAAGGAATGAATTAAAATAAAGGTTCCGATTGATCTGGAATCAGAGCACCTCACTGATGGACAGTGGATGTGCGTCTCAAGCCCTTGTGCCTGTACTAGCTCTTGGAAAGAGCTATCCATTTAGTCCCACTCCCATGCCCATCCCCTTTTTTAATTTTTATTTTTCATTTAAATGATTCCTAGAAGTCAGTTTGAATGCTGCTGTGAATTGTGGAATCAAACCAGAATACCTTCACTTGCCGCAAGATTGAAAATGGAGAAAAGCTGTCCTTGGACTTTTGAAGTCAGTTCAATCAGTTCACAGCATCGGTTCAAGTTCTGATCGCACGTGTTAAACTGTCAATCAGAAAAAGAGGAAAAAAGAAAAATAAACAAAGAGCCCTCCCATTATCTAAGCATATAGCCCCCCCAACCCACCTTAGCAACCTCCTGCAACCATATCACACGAGATGCTCTCTGCTCAGCGAAATCTTGTCTGCTTCCTGCCCGACCATCATTGGTGGGTTAGCTATCAGCCATACTACCCCACTCTCTGGGACTCCATTCTGGACTCCCTCCACCTTGTCCCCTCACTCCCACCCTCCCCATTTTTAAAGCCCACCTTAAAAGCTTTCTTTTTGATTTGCACTTTTGGTTACTCTCACATCCCCCACACGCCCCCCCACAACCCTCCACACCCTCAGCTTGTGCTCCCAGACAGCTCTGTGCTTTGAGATGTCCTCTCGATCTGAAGGGAGCCATATAAATGTAAAATTGATGCAGTAGTGTGGATTGGCCTAATAATATAGACAATATAGATGTATATATGGCAGACAGATGTCTCATGGCATTAACCACACTGGTTGCTCAGAGGACAAGAGAACCTGGAGAATCTGTGCAAGCTCAAAGCCTGCTCAAAGCTCAAAGCTCTAACAACCCTGCTTCAGCAGGACTTGCTTAACTCTACCCTAGAGCTCCTATGCATACAAGAGGCTGAGTTATAGGCTATCCTAAGGGAGAGAGTTCACCAAGGGAGGAGTACATTAGAGTAACTATAAATATAACAAAAATAAGTTGACCAAGCCAAAGTCTTCACTGAAGCATTTGTAGATCCTGCCCACTGTCTATGTGATTATTCTCAAGGGTAAATTAGGTTGCAATTTCCATAAGGCAAATGATATCTCTGACTTCATCCCTTCCTGTAATAACGTGCCTGACACCCATTGATTGACACCACTACAATTCATTTGCTTCACTTCCTCATCAATTAAATGGAAGATTTCCAGGCTCTGTGCAACTCTCTTCAGCTGTAAATCTCTGTCATTGGTACTCTGTCTGTAAGGACATTTTAGATTGATGTGAATATTGTGATGCAGCCATAGTGCTCATAAAAAGAATAAAAGCTTTCTTCTTGTCCAATGCCTGGAAGGAATTTAAATATTTGGGCAGTTTCATTCCACTTCCCAGTGAGTGGAGTCTTTAGTGTGTTAGCTTGGCTCAGTTAGTAACACTCTCGCTGTGCTGGAAGTGTGCTGCATTGTCAGGCGTGCCATCCTTCAAACGAGACGTTAAACTGAGGCCTGTTCAGATGGATGTTAAAGATCCTATTTAAAAAGTGGAGGGGGTTTCTAAAACCCAGTATCCAGGCCAGCAATCCTCAAATAATAAAAACTATCATTCTATAATTCAATCAACTATCATTCAAATGATAAAAACTATCAGTGGCTGTTTGTGGGACATTGCTGTGTGCAAAACTGACTGCCATGTTCACTCAGAAATTACACAGTCACTCCACTGTTTAGTATATCCTGTGAAGTGCTTTGGGATGTCCTCAAGCGAAAGGCACTATACCAAATGCAAGGTTAGTATTGCATGCAGTATAACTGCCCAGAATTCTGAGAAGCTGCTCTTTTGCAAGGTTGTATTTTTGCCATCAAAATAAATGCTCACTGATCTATCTCATATTTAAATAACATTACTCTCATATCTCATTCTGTATGGTTTGGGCAATTATTAATGCTTCCTTGAATTAACCTTGTTAGTTATCTTATGTACAGACATGCTGATTTCCTAGAGACCCAAATTCTCAAAACTAATTGAAACAATTGAGGGATTTTTGTGCAACTACATATTATAAATCCCAATTGCACATGAGGCACTGTCCTAAAAAGCCCTAGTACTCCAATGTTTTAACTCTAATTAATGCTCTGGAGAAGAGCACTAATTCTATTGGGTAGAATAACAGAGTATCCCAAAGATTGCACACTTATGTTACTGGGGTAAAAAGTACAACCTGGGATAGGTTATTCATCACATATGATACAGGATAATACTGCCTTGCTCCCTCCATGCCTCCTTTAAGGCGCGTCTCAAAACCCTCCTCTTCGACCGAGCCTTTGGCTATCCTCTTATCCTCCACCCTCCCCAATCGGGTCCAAATCTCTGACTGTCGAGCACCTTGGAACGTCCTCCCGACATGAAAGGCACTACACAAATGTAATTTTGTATTGCAGTTACATGCTGTTAAATTAAATTTTACAAGGTAAAGAGGCAATTAATTTATGCAAGATGCTTTCTGCGTAGAAACAAAAAATAATTGCTCTCCAATAACTCAAGTCATTAATTGAACTACAGTCTAGTACATAAACACTGTAGAACCAGAGGACATAGGGAGCAATTTCAGGCCAGACACAAGGACGTTTATTTCTTTACCCAGAGGGTAATTAACAATTGAAACAGGTTGCCAGTAAAGGTGGATGAGGCCAGGACACTGGACTCATTAAAGAAAACAGTTTGATGCTGCAATGGGAGTATGGTGGGGTGGCTATTCTGGAAGGATAAGATCATATAGACTGTAGGGCCTCTTCATCCTAATTAATCATGAGAGCTAATTAGACCTTTAAGGTCACAAGTTCAATTCCTGTGCTGGGTCTGTGCTTGGGACATCCTCCTGATGTGAAAGGCGCTCTACAAATGTAATTTGTTGTTGTTGTGCTGAGTTAACTGATAAGAGGCAGGACAGCACTACAACTCACCTCAGTACTCTGGGTGTGGGGAGGGGGAGTGGAATCAGACAAGTTTCCTTCTCCCAATCATCTTTGTTGAACAGTACAATTATAATAATAATCCTTGTATTTGACATAGAGCCTTATCATGTTGTTGAGACATCTCAAAGGACTTCACAGAATGTATTGTGAAGTGGATCAATTATGTATTTTGGGAGGCAAAACGTGGCAGCCAATTGCGCACAGAGGTGCCCCCAAACACTTGTGGATTGAGTGACCACTTTTTTTTAGGAATTATTACCCCGGAAAGCAATCAGCCAATCCACTAACAACCAGATTCCTACTTGCTGTTAGGCAAACAGAGGCGTATGGAGTCAGGAAACTCGTCGAAGGTTTCGCCCTGCCCGGGAATCGAACCCGAGTCCTCTCACTTGCGAGGCGAGCGCTCCAGCCACTACTCTACGGGACTCCGCATTTGTACGCGCATTGCACAACCGCAGGATTGGGCTGACCTGGGCTGTGAAGTTCCCCACAACCCACGACACATGGGACGTGATATAACATAACAAAAAGGGCAAATTGTCTTCAAAGGATGTAGAGCATTTTTTTTTTGTGGGGGGGGGGGGGGGAAGCCAGAAATCTTTTAAACTGACATGAAAAAAAAAAGTCATGAACTGGGTTGTAATATCTGCCCATGTCCCAGTGCTGTATGAAGACTAACCACCACAGTGGCAGGGAATGCGCACACAGTCAGGTTGATGGGCCACTGACACGCACAGCACTGCGGGGTTTGCCTTCGGTGGCGCTGCACAAAGTGCAGTTTTGCGGTGGGATCGGTTTTTTTTTTGCACAGGGGATGTATTTCCAAATCGCCACAGCAACGAGCGTCCTTAGTTACCAAACTCCCGGGAAATCTCCAGGTTAACCCCTGCAAGTCAGTGACTGCACTTTGCCAGGACGCGTATGCGCATTGGGGCAACGTTAAGAGTCTGGAAATAAGCGGGAGGCTGGTGGCCATCGTGGGGGGGTGGGTGTCTTTCTTTTTTTTTTTTGTCTTTTTTTTTGTCTTTTTTTTTTTTGCAATTGCACTGCATTTGCAAACTGCAATCACAGCGACAAAGTGGATCACATTATCATTCTGGGCTGATAGCACCACCACAACACTGTCCGAAGGTGCAGACCCCCCCCCACCCACCGGGGGAGGAGAGACCCCGCCGGTGGCTTTATTGGTGCAGAAACCCACATTTACATTGAAAACAAATAACACCGCCTCCGCCCGTGAGCTCTCAATGAATTCATTCATATGCGCTGTTGCAAAGAAATCCGTTGGCGTTCGATCAAAGCGCATTGCAATCACCCAAAGCAATGTTACAATGACAGGAGTTTACTTTATACACATACACTCATATATATACACACACATATACACACACACACTCATATATATACACACACACATACACTCATGTATATACATACTCATATATACACACACACATATATATACACACACAGTCATATATATACACACACACATATATACACATACACACTCATATATATACACACACACATATATATATACACACACACAGTCATATATATACACACACACATATATACACACACACACTCATATATACGCACACACATATACACACACACATACACTCATATATATACATACTCATATATACACACACACATATATATATACACACACACAGTCATATATATACACACACACATATATACACATACACACTCATATATACACACACACACATATATACACACACATATATATACACACACACATATATATACACACACACTCACTCATATATACACACACACATATATATACACACACTCACTCATATATACACACCCACATATACACACACTCATTCATATATACACACCCACATATACACACACACACTCATATATACACACACACATATATATACACACACAAACTCATATATACACACATATATACACACACACATATATATACACACACACTCATAAATACACACACACTCATAAATACACACATATATATATACACACACACATTCATATATACACACACATATATATACACACACACTCATATATATACACACACTCATACATATATACACACATATACACACACACATATATACACACTCATATATACACACACATATACACACACACACTCATATATATACACACACACTCATATATATATATATACACACACAAAACATACACACACACAATACATACACACACACATATTGTCTATATGCACATATAGACACACACACATATATATACACACGTTGTATATATACACATACACACACATATATACACACACGCATATTGTATATATATATATACATACACGCGCATATATACACACACACACATATATATACACACACACATATTGTATATATACACATACATACACACACGCATATCGTATATACACACACACACACACATATATATATATACTTTTCTAGACGTTGCGATGCCACTGCCCGGGTGAGGGGTGCAGCTCACCGGGTAGTCCTTACTCCAGGCTTCAAGTCTGCTCTGCAGTAGTCTGTAAGTGGCCGCACTGACCATCCGCCGCAGAGGCTCAGCCATGGGGCCGGGGAGCGCTGTGTGGCTCCGCTCCACCTGCAGGAGGGCAGTCAGTCACTACAGTATTTATACCCGGGGGCACACCGCTGATACTATGGCTGCGGTGTTAGGGACGCTACGCCTGCGCCGCTGCTGCTGGTGGTGGTGGTGGTGGTGGTTTAGTTGTAGCAACGCTATTTCGGTGGTGTGGAAATCGTGTTGCAACCTGTTGGGTTGTCATTGTGCAGCTCCTGCCCTGACACAGCGGCCCCACAGCCCTCACCATGATCAATGGCTCCCAGCCACCAGCACAGCCCAGCACAGCACAGCACAGCACACAGCACAGCACAGCACACAGCACACAGCACAGCACAGCACACAGCACAGCCCACAGCCCAGCACAGCACACAGCACAGCACAGCCCAGCACAGCACAGCACACAGCACAGCACAGCACAGCACACAGGCCAGCACAGCACACAGCACAGCACACAGCACAGCCCAGCACAGCACAGCACACCAGCACAGCACACAGGCCAGCACAGCCCAGCACAGCACACAGCACAGCACAGCCCAGCACACAGGCCAGCACAGCACACAGCACAGCACACAGCACAGCACAGGCCAGCACAGCACAGCACACAGCACAGCACAGGCCAGCACAGCACAGCACAGAGCACAGCACAGCACACAGGCCAGCACAGCCCAGCCCAGCACAGCACAGCACACAGCACAGCACACAGGCCAGCCACCAGCACAGCACAGCACAGCACACAGCACAGCACACAGCACAGCACAGCACACAGGCCAGCCACCAGCACAGCCCAGCACAGCACACAGCACAGCACACAGCACAGCACAGCACACAGGCCAGCCACCAGCACAGCCCAGCACAGCACAGCACAGCACACAGCACACAGGCCAGCCACCAGCACAGCACAGCGCACAGGCCAGCACAGCACACAGGCCAGCACAGCACAGCACACAGCCCAGCACAGCACAGCGCACAGGCCAGCACAGCACACAGCCCAGCACAGCACACAGGCCAGCCACCAGCACAGCCCAGCACAGCACAGCCCAGCACAGCACAGCGCACAGGCCAGCACAGCACACAGGCCAGCACAGCACAGCCCAGCACAGCACACAGGCCAGCCACCAGCACAGCCCAGCCCAGCACAGCACAGCACACAGGCCAGCACAGCACACAGGCCAGCCACCAGCACAGCCCAGCACAGCACACAGCACAGCACACAGCACAGCACACAGGCCAGCCACCAGCACAGCCCAGCACAGCACAGCACAGCACACAGCACACAGGCCAGCCACCAGCACAGCACAGCACAGCGCACAGGCCAGCACAGCACACAGGCCAGCACAGCACAGCACACAGCCCAGCACAGCACAGCGCACAGGCCAGCACAGCACACAGCCCAGCACAGCACACAGGCCAGCCACCAGCACAGCCCAGCACAGCACACAGGCCAGCACAGCACAGCCCAGCACAGCACACAGGCCAGCACACAGGCCAGCACAGCACACAGGCCAGCACAGCACACAGGCCAGCCACCAGCACAGCCCAGCACAGCACACAGGCCAGCCACCAGCACAGCCCAGCACAGCACACAGGCCAGCCACCAGCACAGCCCAGCACAGCACACAGCCCAGCACAGCACACAGGCCAGCCACCAGCACAGCCCAGCACAGCACACAGGCCAGCCACCAGCACAGCCCAGCACAGCACACAGCCCAGCACACAGGCCAGCACAGCACACAGGCCAGCACAGCACAGCACAGCACACAGCCCAGCACAGCACACCAGCACAGCAGCCCAGCACAGCACACAGGCCAGCACAGCACACAGGCCAGCACAGCACAGCACACAGCCCAGCACAGCACGCAGGCCAGCACAGCACACAGGCCAGCCCAGCACACAGGCCAGCACAGCACAGCACAGCCCACCAGCCCAGCACAGCACACAGGCCAGCACAGCACAGCCCACAGGCCAGCACAGCACAGCCCACCAGCCCAGCCCACCAGCCCAGCACAGCCCACCACCCCAGCCCACCACCCCAGCCCACCAGCCCAGCCCACCAGCCCAGCCCAATAGCCAGCCCAGCCCACAGCACTGCAACAACAACAACAACATGACGTCTGCCAAGGGCGTCCCAAGGCGCCGCGCAGACAGAGTTACCGACCCAAGCTGGTCCGGGTGGGGGAGGGCGGAGGTCGGTGGCTGGGGAAAGGTGGGGGGGAGGCAGGCAGGGAGATCGAAAGAGGAGGGGTTCTTGAGGTGGGTCTTGAAGGTGGCGAGGAAGGGGGCGAGGCGGAGGGGCTGCGGGATGGAGTTCCAGACCGGGGGGGGGGGGGGGGGGGCAGAGCGGCGGAAGGCCCGGCTGCCGATAGTGGGGCGAGCGAGCGAGCGAGGCGGGGGACGTGAAGCAAGAAGGAGCTGAGCGGAGAGAGCAAGCAACAACAACAACAACAAGATTCCATTTATAAAGCGCCTTTCACGTCAGGAGGACGTCCCAAGGCGCTGCACAGTTGGGTCATGACCCGAGCAGGGGGGAAATGGTCAGGGTGAGGGGAGGGAAGGGAGGGAGCGAGGAGGGGGTAGAGAGTCGAGAGGGGAGCTGAAAGCACTGTCAAAGAGAAAGGTCTTGAGACCGGCCTTGAAGGAGGAAAGGGAGGAGGCGGCGAAGGCACTGGGGATAGAGTTCCAGAGCCTCGAGGCTGAGAGGCTGAAGGCTCGGCCACCGATAGTAGGGCGGTTGGGGCGGGGGATGTGGAGCAGACCGGAGCCAGAGGAACGGAGGGTACGGGCGGGTAGGTAGGGGGATAGTAGGTTGGAGAGGTAGGAGGGAGCGAGGCCGTGAATGGCCTTGTAGGTGAGGATGAGGATCTTGAAATCAATCCTCTGGGGGATGGGGAGCCAGTGGAGGTGAGTGAGGGTGGGAGTGATGTGGTCCTGGTGCGGGACAGTACACGAGCTGCAGAGTTCTGAATGACCTGCAGCTTGTGGAGGGAGGTGCCGGGAAGGCCGGCGAGGAGAGAGTTCCCGTAGTCCAGCCTTGAGGTGACAAAGGCGTGGACCAGGGTTTCAGCCACGTGAGGGGTGAGGTAGTGCCGTAGTCTGGTGATGTTCCGGAGGTGATGGAAGGCGGTGCCAGTTGTGGTGCGGATATGGGGGAGAAAGGACAGCTCAGGGTCGAACAGAACACCGAGGTTCCTGACGGCTTTGAGAGGTGGAGAGTGCAGCCTTGGATGCTGATGGTGTTGGCGCCTGAGGATGGCAGGGGGTTAGGAGGTTGCAGAGGGAGGGGGGAGCAAGACCACAGAGGGCTTTGAAAGTGAGGACCAGGATCTTGAACTGTATCCTGTGTGTGATGGGAAACCAGTGGAGTCGGGTGAGTTCTGGATGATCTGCAGCCGATGGAGGGAGAATTTCCCGTGAAATTCCTGCGAGTAAAACAATTCCTAATTGAAGTGATCCCAATTATTGTGATTATTGCTGCCACTTACTCCCCCGAACACAGTCAAACCCCCCCCAATCCATGCCTCTAACATGTAATAATAATAACCTTTGCATTTGATGTAGCGCCTGATCACGTCGTTGAGACGTCACAAAGCGCTTCACAGAATATACTGTAAATGGATTAACCGCGTGTTTTGTGGGAGAGACGCAGCGGCCGAGTACTCACCGCAGTGTCCCACAAACAGTGGTGGTTTGAGTCACCAATTTTTTTTTCAGGGATTATTATCCCAGGAAAGTAGTAACTGTGCTGTGCTCACTCTCTGTGTTATTACTGTGCTAACCCTCAGTATTATTACTGTGCTGTCTCAGTATTATTGCTGTTATTATTGTGCTCTCAGTATTATTGCTGTGTTATTACTGTACTCAGTATTATTGCTGTTATTACTGTGCTCTCAGTGTTATTGCTGTTATTACTGTGCTCTCAGTATTATTGCTGTTATTACTGTGCTCTCAGTATTATTGGTTATTACTGTGCTCTCAGTGTTATTGCTGTTATTACTGTGCTCTCAGTATTATTGGTTATTACTGTGCTCTCAGTATTATTGCTGTTATTACTGTGCTCTCAGTATTATTTCTGTTATTACTGTGCTCTCAGTATTATTGCTGTTATTACTGTGCTCTCAGTATTATTGGTTATTACTGTGCTCTCAGTGTTATTGCTGTTATTACTGTGCTCTCAGTATTATTGCTGTTATTACTGTGCTCTCAGTATTATTGCTGTTATTACTGTGCTCTCAGTGTTATTGCTGTTATTACTGTGCTCTCAGTGTTATTGCTGTTATTACTGTACTCTCTCAGTATTATTGCTGTTATTACTGTGCTCTCAGTATTATTGCTGTTATTACTGTGCTCTCAGTATTATTGCTGTTATTACTGTGCTCTCAGTGTTATTGCTGTTATTACTGTACTCTCTCAGTATTATTTCTGTTATTACTGTGCTCTCAGTATTATTGCTGTTATTACTGTGCTCTCAGTATTATTGGTTATTACTGTGCTCTCAGTATTATTGCTGTTATTACTGTGCTCTCAGTATTATTGCTGTTATTACTGTGCTCTCAGTATTATTGCTGTTATTACTGTGCTCTCAGTGTTATTGCTGTTATTACTGTGCTCTCAGTGTTATTGCTGTTATTACTGTGCTCTCAGTATTATTGCTGTTATTACTGTGCTCTCAGTATTATTGCTGTTATTACTGTGCTCTCAGTGTTATTGCTGTTATTACTGTGCTCTCAGTGTTATTGCTGTTATTACTGTACTCTCAGTATTATTGCTGTTATTACTGTGCTCTCAGTGTTATTGCTGTTATTACTGTGCTCTCAGTGTTATTGCTGTTATTACTGTACTCTCAGTATTATTGCTGTTATTACTGTGCTCTCAGTATTATTGCTGTTATTACTGTGCTCTCAGTGTTATTGCTGTTATTACTGTACTCAGTGTTATTGCTGTTATTACTGTGCTCTCAGTATTATTGCTGTTATTACTGTGCTCTCAGTATTATTGCTGTTATTACTGTGCTCTGTGTTATTGCTGTTATTACTGTGCTCTCAGTGTTATTGCTGTTATTACTGTGCTCTCAGTGTTATTGCTGTTATTACTGTACTCTCTCAGTATTATTGCTGTTATTACTGTGCTCTCAGTATTATTGCTGTTATTACTGTGCTCTCAGTATTATTGCTGTTATTACTGTGCTCTCAGTATTATTGGTTATTACTGTGCTCTCAGTGTTATTGCTGTTATTACTGTGCTCTCAGTATTATTGCTGTTATTACTGTGCTCTCAGTATTATTGCTGTTATTACTGTGCTCTCAGTATTATTGCTGTTATTACTGTGCTCTCAGTATTATTGCTGTTATTACTGTGCTCTCAGTATTATTGCTGTTATTACTGTGCTCTCAGTATTATTGCTGTTATTACTGTGCTCTCAGTGTTATTGCTGTTATTACTGTACTCTCAGTATTATTGCTGTTATTACTGTGCTCTCAGTATTATTGCTGTTATTACTGTGCTCTCAGTGTTATTGCTGTTATTACTGTACTCAGTGTTATTGCTGTTATTACTGTGCTCTCAGTATTATTGCTGTTATTACTGTGCTCTCAGTATTATTGCTGTTATTACTGTGCTCAGTGTTATTGCTGTTATTACTGTGCTCTCAGTGTTATTGCTGTTATTACTGTGCTCTGTGTTATTGCTGTTATTACTGTGCTCTCAGTGTTATTGCTGTTATTACTGTACTCTCTCAGTATTATTGCTGTTATTACTGTGCTCTCAGTATTATTGCTGTTATTACTGTGCTCTCAGTATTATTGCTGTTATTACTGTGCTCTCAGTATTATTTGTTATTACTGTGCTCTCAGTGTTATTGCTGTTATTACTGTGCTCTCAGTATTATTGCTGTTATTACTGTGCTCTCAGTGTTATTGCTGTTATTACTGTGCTCTCAGTGTTATTGCTGTTATTACTGTACTCTCTCAGTATTATTGCTGTTATTACTGTGCTCTCAGTGTTATTGCTGTTATTACTGTGCTCTCAGTATTATTGCTGTGTTATTACTGCACAGACTCAGTGACCTGTGACTCGGGATGTACCATGTGCTGAGGCTGTGGGGGAACTCAGGGGCGCTCCCTGTTCAGCTGAGATCGGGCCGCCCGGGGGGGGGGGTGAGGGCGGGGCGGGGAGGCCTGTGAGGGGGGCGGGGCCGGGGTCAGGGTGAGGGGGGTCGGGGTCGGGGGTGAGGGGGGGCGGGGGAAGGGGGTGAGGGGCGGGGCCGGGGTGAGGGGGGGCGGGGCCGGGGTGAGGGGGGGCGGGGCCGGGGTGAGGGGGGGCGGGGTCGGGGTGAGGGGGGCGGGGCCGGGTGAGGGGGGCGGGGCCGGGGTGAGGGGGGGCGGGGCCGGGGTGAGGGGGCGGGCCTGGCCGGGCGGGGAGGCCTGTGAAGGGGGGCGGGGCCTGGGCGGGGAGGCTGTGAGGGGGCGGGGCCGGGGTGGGGGGGGCGGGGCCGGGGTGGGGGGGCGTGGCTGGCGGGGCGGGAGGCCTGTGAAGGGGGGCGGGGCGGGGTGGGGGGGGCGGGGCCGGGGTGGGGGGGCGTGGCCTGGCGGGGCGGGGAGGCCTGTGAAGGGGGGCGGGGCCGGGGTGAGGGGGGCGGGCCTGCGGGCGGGGAGGCCTGTGTGTCGGGGTCGGGTGAGGGGGGCGGGGCCGGGGTGAGAGGGGCGGGGCCGGGGCGAGGGGGGGCGGGGCCGGGGTGAGGGGCGGGGCCTGGCCGGGCGGGGAGGCCTGTGTGTCGGGGTCGGGGTGAGGGGGGCGGGGCCGGGGTGAGAGGGGCGGGGCCGGGGCGAGGGGGGCGGGCCGGGGTGAGGGGCGGGGCCTGGCGGGCGGGGAGGCCTGTGTGTCGGGGTCGGGGTGAGGGGGGCGGGGCCGGGGTGAGAGGGGCGGGGGCCGGGGCGAGGGGGGGCGGGGCCGGGGTGAGGGGGGCGGGGCCTGGCCGGGCGGGGAGGCCTGTGTGTCGGGGCCGCTGCTCCGCCTCTCTCTCTCTCTCTCTCCCTGTGCGCGGGGCCGGTGGTGGAGGCCGAGAGGAGGTTCAGAGACAGAGAGAAAGATGGCGAGTGAACAGGTCAGTGAGAGAGAGGGACGGAGAGAGGGACAGTGATGTCGCTCTGTGTGTGGGTGAGAGGGTTGTAGTCGATCACACGGGGGACTGTCTGTGTGACTGTGGCTGTAACTGTGTGTGTGTGTGTGTGTGTGTGTGTGACTGTGTGTGTGTGACTGTGTGTGTGACTGTGTGTGTGTGACTGTGTGGTGTGTGTGACTGTGTGTGTGTGTGTGTGTGTGACTGTGGTGTGTGTGTGTGGTGTGTGACTGTGTGATGGGGTGTGTGTGAGTGTGTGTGTGTGTGTGTGACTGTGTGATGGGGTGTGTGTGTGTGTGTGTGACTGTGTGTGTGTGTGTGTGTGACTGTGTGTGTGACTGTGTGTGTGTGACTGTGTGTGTGTGTGACTGTGTGTGTGTGTGACTGTGTGTGGTGTGTGTGTGTGTGACTGTGTGTGTGTGACTGTGGTGTGTGTGTGTGTGTGACTGTGGTGTGTGTGTGTGACTGTGACTGGTGTGTGTGATGACTGGTGTGTGTGTGTGACTGTGTGTGTGTGATGGTGTGTGTGTGTGTGACTGTGTGTGTGTGTGGCTGTGGGGGGGGGGTGTGACTGTGTGTGTGTGACTGGTGGTGGTGTGTGTTGTGACTGTGTGTGTGTGACTGTGTGTGGTGTGTGACTGTGTGTGTGTGACTGATGTGTGGTGTTGTGGTGACTGTGTGTGTGTGACTGTGTGTGTGTGACTGGTGTGTGTGTGTGACTGGCTGTGTGTGTGACTGTGTGTGTGTGTGACTGATGTGGTGTGTGTGACTGTGTGTGTGTGGTGTGTGTGACTATGTGTGTGTGTGACTGGTGTGTGGTGATGTTACTGTGTGTGTGTGACTGGTGTGGTGTTGTGTGTGTGACTGGTGTGTGTGTGACTGTGTGTGTGTGACTGTGTGTGTGTGTGACTGTGTGTGTGTGACTGTGTGTGTGTGTGACTGTGTGTGTGTGTGACTATGTGTGTGTGTGATTGTGTGTGGCTGTGTGACTGTGTGTGTGTGTGTGACTGTGGCTGTGTGTGTGTGTGTGTGACTATGTGTGTGTGTGTGTGACTGTGTGTGTGACTGTGGCTGTGTTGTGACTGTCAGTCATTAGGAGGAAGATCAGTAGATTTTCTGTTGACCCCAAAGTTTGGCTCCTGTCAGTTTGTGCCCAGAGCTTTCCAGGATTAGCAGCACCACCACCAACAAATGACATTTGTACAGCGCCTTCAAGTAGGAAGGACGTCCCAGGGCGCTCGACTGTTAAGGGTTTGCATCCGAGCTGGGGGTTGGAATCAAGAGGGTGGAGGCCCTCGACAAAGGGGAAATTTTGATGTTTAAATGTAAAAACAATCCACGTGTGTTAGACACCCGTTTCGCCAAAAAGTCTCAAAGACAGAATCAGAGAAAGAAACAGACTCACCAAGTTATAGAGCTCTGTGAGTTCCAGCCCATGGTCACTGGTTATTATTAGGTTTTAGTGATGTGTTGCAGTTGCAGTATTTGCTATTTCTGTGAACTATGTTTCATAAAAAGTTGAGGTTGATTTACTGTGATGTGAGTGGACCTGCTGTGTGAGAGCTGTAACAGCTCCTGGTGGTAAGAAGGTGACACTTGCTTCAAGGAGTGTCTTGTATCTCCCTTATTGTGATTGGGGCTTACATTTCCGGACAGCAGCATCTGTACATCAAAATAATAATAATAATAATAATAATCCTTGCATTTGATATAGCGCTTTTCACGTCGGGAGGACGTCAGGTCCTCCTCACCTCTGATCATCGTACTGATCTTTTCCCTTATCACTGTACTGATATTTTCTAATGATGGACTTGGTTGCTAAGTCCTATCACCTGTGGAACTGTTTAGTTGACTAAACAACAACAACAAATTACACTTGTATTGCGCCCTTCATGTCGCCAAGATGTCCCAGGGGCTTTGGACCTGAGCTGGGAGTTGGATTCAGAAGGGGAGGAGGGCAGGGGGGTTGGGGGTTGGAGAATGGCCGAAGTCATGGTCGAAGAGGAAGGTCTTCAGACAGCACTTGAAGGAGGCAAGAGAGGAGGTGAGGTAGAGGGATTGCGGGATAGAGTTCCAGAGTATGAGGGCAGAGATGCTGAATGCCCGACCACCAATGGTGGAGCGGGAAGTGCGGGGGGACTTGAAGCAGTCTGGTGTCCGCCAAGTGGAGGGAGCGGACAGGCTGATATGGGGTTAGGAGGTTGGAGAGGTAGGGGGGAGCAAGTAAGGGGCTTTGAAGGTGAACAGCACAAATAGCACAACTTGCACAAAATTAAAGCACTTACATATGATATCCACAACTTAAAATAATGTAAACATTCAGTGAAGATGATTGAAAAGATAAAATTGCGCAATCAAAGAAGTAAGTTTTTATATCAACCATATATTTGTATACAAACATGGAATTTGGGCCTCTATTTTTTGTGAGTTGCCCAAAATATCTTGAATATAACCTGGATTTTGAACAAAGCTTCCATTTTAGTTTTCTTTATTGACCCACTTTAAGTTCAGGCTTTCAGTGATTCAAAGTAAAACATTTTCTTAAGGGAACAATGGGCTTGTTCATGGATTTTGAATAATAATCCTTTTTGATTTTTAAGCAGAGTTCAAATGGCCCCATTCGTCGCTCCATGCGAGAGAAAGCTGTTGATCGCAGGAATATAAACAAGGAGCACAACAGCAACTTCAAGGCCGGGTATATTCCCATTGATGAAGAGAGACTGCACAGGACCGGGCTCCGAGGACGTAAGGGCAACCTTGCCATTTGTGTAATTGTCCTCATGTTTATTCTGGCGTTGATTAATTTAATCGTAAGTATTTGTAATATTTTTGGATTGTGCTAAAAATAGGGTACATTAATCCAAATGCTAATAACAACATCGCAGAACTTTCTTAGTTAACTTAGGGTTAGCTCAGGTCCAAATCCCTAACTGTCCAGCGCCTTGGAATGCCCTCCTGATGTGAAAGATGCTATACAATTGTAATTTGTTGCGGTTGCGAGACAGCAAATATTCTTGAAATCAAACTTGGGTGTGAACGTGTGCAATTGTTGGGGGTGGGTGAGAAGGGGTTGAGTTGTATGACCAATCTTAAAGAATGGTGGAAAAATACAATGTTTCATATGAGATTCAATAACTATAAGGAGTACCATGTAGTTGAAATTACTTGTTAACATTTTATATAATGATAAAACTATTTACAGGATCACACTCAGTAAATTGTCATTCTTAATATGTAACAATTGTACAATACAATATAATTTACACTTATATGGGCCTTTCATCATGGGAGAATGTCCCACTTGTAGTAATAATAATCCTTACATTTGATATAGCGCCTTATCATTCTTCAAGACATCTCAAAGCGCTTCACAGAATATATTGTAAAGTGAATTGACTATATTTTGTGGATAAAACACGGCAGCCAATTGCACACAGCAGTGTCCCACAAACAGTCATGGATTGAAGTGATTGATCTATTTTTTTGAAGGAATTATTACCCTCAGAAAAGTGATCCGCCAGTCGACTAATAACTGGGTTCCTACTTACTGCTAGTTAAACAGAGGCGGGTGGAGTACCGGGAAAGATGATTGAAGCCAGATTCTGGAATTATTTTTAGAAACAGTTTTACGCTGTGAGGGGAGGTTTCGTTGGTTATTATGGAAGGATAAGGTCAATAGGATAAAGAGCCTTCTTTATCTGAGCCTCTCTTGTGATTTTGTGAATTACTTTATTGTCTGCACCATGTTCTTTTAGAACAGAAGCAAGAAGTTACATTCTGGACTAAGTTAATTTCTGCATGCGTTTTAAGGAGCCTGACTTTTTATCATTCCAGATCACACTTGTTATCTGGGGTGTGATTCGTATTGGTCCCAATGGCTGTGATAGTATGGAGTTTCATGAAGAAGGATTGCTGCGGTTCAAGCAAGTGTCTGACATGGGAGTGGTGTATCCCTTGCACAAGAGCACAGTGGGAGGCAGACGAGATGAGTACCTGCTGATCACAGGCAACAACCAACCAGTGAGTACATGGTTAACCACGCAATCGAGTTTACAGTGCACCATATACATTTCTGTCTAGGTTGTGTGGATCAGTGTTTCTGCGCGAGGACAAGTCCCAGACTGTGAGAACTTTCTTGCAGGGCCACACCAAGGATATCTTTAAGAACGAGCAACTTGACAGGCTCATGTACTAAAGTTCTGCCCACATTTTAAGAAGAAACTGAGCTAATTTGCTTGTTTCAAAAAGGTTCAGAGACACTGGTGAAGATTGCCTGTTCCCTCTGCTGCTCTTCACCTTGTATCTAGGAGATGGTTAGTACCATATGAATCCATATTCATTCAAAGTAGCAGATAGTGTTGTTACATCCCCATATCGATAGAAACATAAGTAATGTTGGATATGTTTCCTGTTTATTATAGAATTTGTGTAAATTGTTATCAGCTGCTTATTATGTGAGAATATGACAATTTTTTGCAACTAATAGTAGGAGTGGACTTATTTCATTTTACTAGTCCCAAACCATGCTCTAAGCAGGAAGATGAGCAATCTAAAAGACGACTTGTATAAAAATGTACAGGTTTAATTAACTATTAACTTCCTGTGTACAATAGTGATGCCCAAATATGTAATGTTATAATGATAATAGTGCTTGAATTTGACATGGCACCTTATCACGTGAGTGAAACATCTCAAAGAGTTTAACAAGTTTTACTGTGAAGTGTCTGTTTTGTTGTCATCTCAGAAAGGTGTGGAATTCTCTTAAACTTGTTTTGTTTAAAAAAAATGAGAAATCATATTGTTTCATATATAGTTTTATATTTGTATAAATATTTATACAATTTCTGAAGTACTATTCTGGGTCTGAGATGGGGGATGGGCTTGATCCAGCCATTGTGAAGTTGATGAGAGCAGCCTGGGATGACTTACCTGCTGTTTTATTCCTAGTGCAAAAAATGTAACCTGGGAGGATTTTCTTCAAGCTTTTCTGCCACCCTGTCTTGTGTATTACGTGTTAATGTGAAACGTGGATTTCTTATCATTCTCTTTGTTGTTCCGTCCTCTTTCAGGTGGTATTTCAGCAGGGAACAACCAAGCTAAGTGTGGAGAAGGACAAAACATCTATCACCAGTGACATTGGCATGTCTTTTGTTGATCCTCGAACCCAGAAAACTGTGTTCAGCACCGACTATGAAACCCATGAGTTCCATTTGCCTAAAGGGGTGAAGACGCTGAATGTACAGAAAGCATCTACAGAAAGGGTTAGTGTAAACAATTTCTGAATGAGATTAGAGAATAGGTTGCTTTTCTCTCTCTCTCCCCTATCTTATCACTGGGTTTTATATTTTGTAAAGGATTTCCTTAACTCTTTAACACACCTCACATAACTAGAGCAAGTTTCGAATCAACTTGACTGTCCTTCTCAGGTGACACAGCTTTCCTTATTAGTCCACATGTTTGAACTTTTCTGTGCCTGTCTTGGATTTAATACAAAACTTATTTTACTCACTTCTTGGACTTCAGAAACAATGATTCTTGCATTTTACTATAGAGCATTACAACCCAGAAATAGGTCTTGCGGGTTTTCTCTGGTATTTTTCTCCATGTGAACCATGATTTCCTGATACCCTTTTTATTTAGCACTTTATTGTGTTTAAACTTTCAAAGCATTTTACACAATTTTTCTTGCAGTCGAGTGACTATTGTATAGGTTACTATGATAATTAATTTGAACTGGCAATTTCCCACAAACAGCAATGAAACAATTGACAATTTGCTATACAGGGCAGGAGGAATATTAGCCAGGACAAATGGAGAAAATAGTGCCATAGGATCCTTAATATCTGCAAGAATTAAAATTTAAATAATTTTACAAATTAGGATTAAACTTAAAGGAGGCGAGGTGAAGGGACTCCAGGATGGAATTCCAGACAGTGGAAGCAGAAAGGCTGAAAGCCTGCCCGCTGATGATGGTTGTGGCAGGGTGGGGGACGTGAAGCAAGTCAGTGCCTGCCAAGCGGAGGGAGCAGGAGGGAGCAGGTAGATTGGTAGGATTTTAGAAGGTTACTAATATTAATTCAATTTACCCTTGAAATTATACACATGCTCTAGAAATATTTCTGCAGCAATCCTGGTCTCAGATCCATGTATTTATATGTGTTCAGTGGGTGTGGCATTCAAGAAGCAAGGCTCATGATATCACATGTATGTATATATAGCTGTGTTGTGCAACATGTTTATTTTCACAAGACAGTTGTCATTCATTCGATATGGTCTGTACCATGAATAGCAGTAACTATAGATATGTATCCATATCTATTTGTAGGAATTAATTATTAAAGTGAGAAAGGGGATTCAGTTCTCACTCTATAGATTGCCTGTTGGAGCTCTGATTAATGTTATCAGTTTAGATTCTTTGTATATCTTGCTACATAACATCAGTATTGCCCTCTGATAAAAAGCAGAAAGTGGTAAATATTGCCATTAGAATTTCCACACAACTATAAATATGATAGAAATGTAGACATTTGTGCAGTTGAACAAAAATGCTTGGTGTAAATGACTGTCAATAATTCTAGTTGTTCTTTCTAGATAACCAGCAGTCATACCACCGATCTTCAGATTCATGCTACTGAAAACGCCATTGTGCGTGGAAATGAAGGGGTGTACATCATGGGAAAAACCATTGAGTTTCGGATGAGGGGTAATATGGAACTAAAGGCTGTGAGTACAAAGTTCTTTGGTAGCACTCAGCTCGTCTACCTTGAATTCATAAGCAGGGCTCAGAATCTTTTCGCTATATGCTAGCTTTTTTCACTATATTCTAGCTTCTCTTTTCCTGCTCCCATCTACACCATCTTTGTTCTTTGAAAGCAATACAGTTAAGTGAACTTTTAAAATGTTGTTAGTCCTGTGATCATATCTTGAATGAACACTGGAGCAGTATTCTTTGTCTCTAAACACATAAGGGCCTGAGACCCGAAAAGTCTTCTAGTATTAGTCTGCAGTCCTGTCCTAGAACACTTGCTTCGCAAGAGAGAGAAGCTGGGTTTGATTCCTGGGCAGGGCGAAATGTTGGGCAAGTTTCCTTACTCCACACACCTCTGTTTACCTAGCAGTAAGTAGGAACCTGGTTGTTAGTTGATTGGTAGATCACTTTTCCGCTGGGCAATTGGCTGCTGCGTTTCTCCCACAAAAATATGCAGTCAATTCAACTCTGTGAAGAGCTTTGAGGTGTTTCGAAGACGTGGTAGGTAAGGCGCTGTATCAAATGCAAGGATTATTGTTATTTTGTCTTAAAATTTAAGACATCAATTGTGAAAAATTCTTAAATTAAATTTTAATTTAGACATTTATTCATAGTTCTTAAAAAGAACCAATTTCCAAGTTAAAGCTGAATTTTAAGAATTTTTCTTTATTCTTCACAGCCTTAAATTTCTAGACAGGATGGTCTTACAAGCTAAGACAAAAATTCCATGGGAGTAGCTATTGATTATTAAAACCTTATGAATAAGGTTGCACCATTGATTTTTCTGATTCATTTAGAATCCGGCATATATGTCTGTCTATGTTGTTAGCCATGCTCCCTAGCAAAGTGAAAACTGCTTTACATGGGTTCTGTTTATTGTAACGGACCATGATAAACTGTCACCATTGAGGGCAAGCAGTAATATTTTTTTATAAAGTGAAATTTAAGCTGTAAAGACGAGTTTCACAATATTTAATGTGCTATCTATTAGTCTGGCATTCGGTAAAGCAGCACTGTAATGCTACTCACTGTGACAGCAGACACATCAGAGGCTTTGGACCAGTTTCAGACCCAATGAGTCAGTCGGGAATGGGTGTTCACTGTTAAGTGCTTTCAGATATCCTCCTGATGGGAAATGTGCTGTATAAATGTAAATTGTATTGTATTGTAAATCACTCAATAATTAACAACTGAAATTGCGATGTTTCCTTACAGATTTGATGTACTAACATAACATTTGTCACTCCATTGTATTTTAGTATATTTATAGTTTAGGCTTGAATTATAATCCCATTATTTTAGTTGAAAACTTGGAAGAAAGTTAGCCCAAGAATCCTGGAATTCAGTTGTGTACCCACTGGTAGTCTAAGCTTGAGGATAAGTTGAGAGTCTGAGAAATTGAATTAAACTTTTGTAAGGCAGGTTGTATTGTTTTCAGTATTGGGGTTGGGAACCTGAGGAGGAGTCTCAGGTTCCCAATGCCAATATATTTATTTTGGATAGATATTTATTAGGTAAGGGTATTAAGGAATATGGGGTAAGGGCGGGTAATTAGAGTTGAGGTACAAATCAGTCATGATCTTATAGAATGGCTGAACAGGCTTGAGGGGCTGACTGGCCGACTTGCTTCTATGAGTCCTGAAAAGTCATGTCTCAGTGTTTGGAATGAACATGTAAGGACCAAGAACAACAACTTCCATTTATATAGCGCTCTTCACACGGAGCAGCGTGCCAGTCCAGGCCAGACTGGGTAGTCTATTCATCAGAAGGTAGAAAGTGTTCAATATTCAAACTCATTTAAAAAATGCCATACTGCATAAATTTGAACAAGCCCCAAAGGTAAAGTGTGTCCTATTGCTTTGTGCCACAAATTACATGAAAGTTTGCAGAGATAAGTGTGTGAAACTGTGTCTATTAATATTTTCTTCCACAAGAGTCCCAATTCAGGTGTTGATGTTTAACAAAGTTCAATTTTGTCTTCCACTTTTAGGAAAACAGCATTATTCTCAATGGGACTGTGATGCTCATCACTTCACGGCTCCCGCACTCAGCGACTGGTGAGCTTTTGGTGGACAACAGCTGGGAGCGCTACAAACTCTGCATGTGTGCGGATGGAACACTTTTCCGCGTTCAGGTGAAAAACCGAAACACAGGTTGCCAAACGTCCGAAAATCCCTGTGGTTTCACACGCTAGGAATCTCAGCCAGTCACCAAAAATGAGGGTTGAATAGAATGACAACAATGTGTTTCTCAATTTAATGTGGAATATTTTCTGTTTTAATGCAGTATAACTAATGTGTAACTAGGTCATTATAGACACTCTGAGTGCCTAATTATATAAAGGGGAATAACGTCTAGAGAGATTACTTTTTGTTCCAAGTACTCCCTCTAGAATTAAACAAATAAGATGTTTGTAAAATTATTCTTTATCTGAAGTGAGAAATTCACGCTTCAAAACAATCCCTAGCATCTGTCTCTCCTGAATAGGCCGATCTGGGGAGCTGTTCTTCAAGGCTGCATTATCGATTCTAGAGCAATTCCTTGAGTTTAGTGGGAATGGCACATTTGGCTTGAAAAGTTGATCCAGAATTGTCCGACCTGGGAAAGTTCTGTATGTGTGAAAATCACTGCATTCATGGGACTGAACCTTGCCCAAGGTTGGGCAGCTCTGATTGGTCAAAACTCCCTTCTTTCTTTCCTTCGCTCAGTGAATCCATCCCAGCTTTTCCATGTAACATCCTAGCACCATGGCCGAGGGAGCATCTAATACTGAGAATATTTTGCTTTGGGTAAATAATTATTTCATATGTTACTTTCTTAAGTTTCTGGACGAATAATTTTAATTTTGAATAAGACATACTCGCTGTTTATTTTGCCTACAAAATACAATCACCTCACTTTACAGTAAATCCTGTGAAGTGCTTTGAGTCTCTTCCCCTCATGAAAGGCGCAATATCAAATGCAAGGATTATTTTTATTTACCCCTCTGCCCTCTGCTTCTCAATGTGTTTTAACGATTTTCCCATTTAGAAAAATGGAATTTAACAAATCCAGTTCTTACCAAGTACTGACCAGTCAGAGAGAGAATTCAGGAGATTTTTGAAGGCGAGGGAAGGAGAGAGACAGCAAGGCAAAGTAGTTTGGAAGAAGAGACCAAGAGTATGGTGGCTGAAGCCTCAACCACTGCGTATGTGGTTAAACACTAGGCATCTGATAAACTGAGAATTGGTAATCCAATGCCACAATACAGCTGATCAGTGTCAGTTCCATATTATGAACCTGTACTTTTGTGGAAACCAGAGGCAGCTACTTCCAAATGAGGTAACACAACCTGTCGTTCACACGCAATGCTAGAGGTGACTGCTGCCTTCATGCAACATAAATCTAGTTATTTTCTGCTGGGAAAATGTACCACAAACTGTTCAGACAGCCATTAAATACATAGTGCCACACCCTCCCCCACCACCCATCCTCCATACGATAATGCTTAAAATGCTGTCTGTATTGCGGTCAAAGCAAACCAGGTATTCAAGTTAAGTGACATTCTGATGCCATGAGATTGTGATCCTGCCATAAGCAGCTGATTCCTGTTACCAGATAGCAGGGTAAATGGCAATGAGAGCGCTGTCTGTACCGCAACAACCTTTTGGTAGTAATAATTGGATTTTTGTTCCATCTCGTCTAAAACCTTAAGTGATTGGGACTTCCCATTTCACATTGCCAAATACTTTAGCAGTATGCAATAGTTACACAATGGGACTTTGTTTTATTAATTTTTGCAATGTTAAGATTATATTTGAAACTACAAATAACATGAATTTTAATTTTAGCAGATGGATGTTTTTTCCCCCAATAGTTGATATTTATCCAGAAATCAGTCTCTGCCATTGTCAGGTATTTGGACTTGTGCAATAGAGTATGGATTTGAAATGATGAATAAACAGTGTTTTTCCTATATGGTTTTATTAATAAGATTCTCCCTCCCATTGTAATTTTATTCCTCTCCACTGGGTGGACATTTAGACCCCAGTCACGAATCAGTCATTTTGCCCATAAGATATAGTGAATTCACTTTTGCAGTACATTCTGTGATGCACTTTGAGACGTCTTGAAAACATAAGGCGCAATATAAAATGCAAGGGTTATTACCACCAGTTAAATGTTCTAAATGTTAGTTATTACGGTATAAGGAGGTGGGATTAACACCATAAAAGGGACAATTAAAAATTCTGCAGGTATGACTTATATTTTAAGAAGTGACATTTTGGGCAGTTAGCTCCAAACTGAATTTTTTTTGAAACGCGTAGGAAAGTTGGGGTAACGCATTTCTCTTTATGTTGCATTGTATGGCAATTGTGTGTTTGGAATAAGCCACAAAGTAAACCTAATAAACAAGTTGAAAGAAAATTTAAATGTAACCAAAACTGTACAACTCACTTCAGATCGAATTGTAATTTGTCATGAAAATCTAGGGGGAAAAAAATACAATTAAGTGGAGACTGGAGAACATTCAAATGTTTTCTGTGAATTTTTCTAACAATTCATGTTTTAGTATATGGAAAATGAGTAATGCATTTATTAAGTGCATATATTAATGCAAGTTTTTAGTGATGCTATGTGCCAAATCAGTTTTTTAAAAAAAGTAATTGTACATTGCAGCAGGGCATCCGACTTGCAATATGATTTCTGTTCTTTTCTAGTCCTCATGTTCATTTTGTCGCCAGTGCTACCTAATATTTACCCCATTGTTAACACACTGCCACTAAACATTTTTTGCATTTATTGCATTTATTTACTTAATATAAACTTGCGTCATGTTTGATTTGAACTGAAAAAGTTACTTTGACTGTATAGCTTTAATTTTGCAAGTAGTTCAAATATGTCTGCATGTTTTATTTTTGAAAACTAGAGTATTATTATTTTGTCTTGCTGAAGACTTTATTCTGATTAATGTTTTAGGGAAGACTACATTTTAGCATTAACTGTTCATTGGTTATGTTTTCAAAACTCATGCTATGTAATATTTAAACAGGGCATTTAAATACATAACGAAAAGACATAGCTATGCCATTCAGGAATTGGTATACATTGTTCCATGTTTTGAGAGCATTTTAAAAGAAGCCTTTGGAAAAATGTTTTAAAAATAGCCATTTTTGGCGCAGTTAAGGCCTACCCGTCCAGAATGGTCATTCACTGCATTAAATAAGCTATGTTTGAACTAAAGTTCAGATTTCTCGATGTGAAATAACACATTTAATAATGAAAACAATAGAAAGGAAGTAATTGTGGGATTAGATGTAATCCATAGCATGGCTTTAAATAATATATAAGCGAGACATATAGTATTATTATGCAGTATGAAAATTGCGATTTGTGAAAGGGAAAATTAAATGTTTGTGTATTTTAATGGCTGGGATGCAGGAATAACTTGCCTAATCGTAACTAGCACTACTATTAAACAACGTTTTCCCATGTATTGCTGTCAATTTGGCATTTAAGAACTTTTGTGTGTAGTCAGAGGTCAGAAGCATGATCGTGCAATCTTATGTAATAACCTGTAAAGCTTTCTTTATATTTAACCAAAGCTCATTGGAAATTATTTTTGAGGTGCAATATCGACATAGCCTTCATTAGCATATATATTTAAAATATATTAACAGTATTTATATTTACTATATGTACTTTAATTTTGCATGAAGTAATGCATTTACTTTGCTTTTTAAGAATTGAGTTAATGTGGACAAAAGTAGAGGCAGGGTTGGTTTGTACAAATGACTATGCCTTGGAGATGCCTGAATAATTGGACTTTGAGCATTTACCAGTTTTCCCAAGATGTGTAAGATTTACAATACATTTATCAAATTAATTTTGGAGATACTTCAGTGNTTTTTTTAATACCTAACTGATTCATTTTAGATTTCTTTTCCTATTGCAATTAAAATGAATGATAAATCAGACAAGATACTTTGGAAAAGTGATTGTCTGACACACAAAACTGATATAAGAACACCAAAGGACCTTGAGGTATCTACCAATGGTAATTTGACAACAATGAAGAGAAACCAATGATTCACAAAGCAGAATAAAAGAACTACCAGTATCACGCTGCTGGTTTGATAGCTGGGCAGTACATTTATTCTTTATCACCCTGAGCACTCTTGTCAATTCTATTGGAGAAAGGCAAGCAAATGGAACTGAACTTTCACACCAGCGCAGTGGGTTGAATGGCCTTCTGTGCTGTGAATTTCTATGGTTTCATAGGTTATTCTTAAAGGGCAACTCTCACAATATGGGAAGAATGTAACAGGTGTATTCTACAGTCATCCTCCTGTTGAAACAACTTTCATTGTACTACAGTACTAGGACAAGGAAAGCCTTTTTTAATCCATGTATTGTTTACAAACTTGAAGTATTGTTGCCAAGCATTATGTGCTACACTAAGTTTTGTTTAATAAATATATTGTGTTAATAACTCAGCATAAGCAGTTTTTCTTTATATTTGCTAGTTGTTGGATCATGTGCAACAAATATTCATAATTGTATGTGTCATTAGGATAGCAAGCTCATTGTTCTCCAACATTTAAAAAGAAACTTTACCTACCTGTATGGTGCTGACTCCTGATGAGGTATAGTGCCTTAACATATAAGCAGTAATTTAAACCAGAGGAAGTGAGAAAAAAAATGGCTTTTGTAGAGTCCTATATGAAAACATCTCAAAGCACTTCATAAGATATAATAATAATTATAATCCTTGCATTTGATATATTGCATGGCGACTGGGTTTCTAGTTATTTAGGGTAGCAAGATCCCATAAACAACTGAACGACCATTTAACCTGAACTATTGTTACTCAGGAAACAGGGAAAAGCTTCTTCATTTTGAATAGTCATGGGGGTTCTTTTAACTGGATACCAGCAGCTGAGATCATTGTTTCAACATCTCATCCAAAAGATAATACTTGTTGCAGCAACAGCAACAACTTGCACTTATATAGCGCCCTCCACACAAGGTAGCGTCTCAGAGTGCTTACCAGTGGTGGAGCCCCCTACAGGGCACTCCCCCTATTAGACTATGAACTCACTTTTCAACACAGGGCTTGAACCCACTTCACCCAAATGTTATTTGTTTATGATTCCCACCGAGACACCTGGATACATTCTCCAATCTAACACTTAATACTGATTCTTACTGTGGTGAAATGAGGAATCTACCTGTACCAAGGCCAAGGTTATTTTCGGAGACTGAAGCTTACAGCAGACTGCAACTGACTTCACGGACCACACTTAGGGCGTTGTACAATCATTGATCCACAGACAAGAAAATAAAATGATAAATTCAAGCATTTAGTGGTGTTGAGTCAGGCAACATTTCAAGGTGTTGAAAACAGCACAAATTTCTTAAAGGTTGTTAAGAGAATTTCAAAAAAGGGTGGGGTGAATGGGGAGAAGGACCGAATCCCAATCAAAGCTAATTAGTTTCCTCAGTTGTGCAACAGGAAAAGCCGAGTAGTGACCAAGCAGTAAGGATATCATGCCTCAAAGAGAGCTTGAAGAAGAGGGATGGCAGAAAAGAAAGAATAAATAGATTACCTCATTTTAGAGGAATTAATTTCTTCATGCAATTCTTCCAATTCCATTGTGGAAAGGGGGATAGATACAATTTTTACCTATGGAAGTTGACAGAATTAGAAAGAAATGCAGGTAAACTTACTTTGCCCTTCCATAAAATGTAAAATTTACAAAAGAAGTCATCATCATAAAATTATGAAAAAAATGAATTCTGCCCTTCCTGAAAATATTCCTAGAGGTTAATGGTTGTTAAGCATTTGAAGGATCAGGTTATACAGTTTAACTAATTTCTTCAGAAAAATGTGCAGATTGTGGCAGTTCACTGATGGAAACAATATTTTCTATATATACACATTTTTAAAATTAAGCAAAGTTAACAAAAGATTTAAAACAAGACAACTGAGTCAGTGTTCAATTTAATCACCACTATTTAATGACTTGCAATACACGATTCTGTGTGCTGATAAATAAATTGGAAAACAAGCTTAAACATTTGAAACCAGTGTACACACTTTACAGTAGCAATCTGAATAAGGAAGACTTTCTTACTACAAAACATTGGAGTGGGATCACCACTTACTGATCTGAACAGCTGTTTCATTGTGCATAAGACGTGCTTTACATTGATTTTTAGGACTAGGCAGTGCATCCATTTTACTGGATACTTTAAGCAAGCTGACAATCATTATTCCATCATACTAAGGAACTGAACCCAACACAAATTTCAGAAACTAAAAAAATATATACAGTAACAGCACAGTAAGTGTACAAAAATAAGCTTGGTAAAAGCAGCAGTTAATCATTTTTCTAAATAAATGGCTAATGTTGCAAAATCCCCTTTGGCAAATGTACTTAAAACTAATGTTATTAACTGTTGATTTACACATTTTAAGTTGATTAGTTTCATAATTTGAAATTTATTGTACTCTTAGAATGATCACATACAAGGCAGCTTTTGGGAGCCATACAGTTGTAATGTGGGGAGATTTTACAGATGGTATTCTGACTCTGGTCTCTGAAGAAACTAAGTCATGTATCATATGGCAATGGATATTAAGAACTAGCCACACATATACAATTGTAGCCCACATTTAGAAATGTAGCCTTGAACCACTTCTTGAACCATAACCTGCTGCGATATTTTCATTTGTGAGCAGTTTATTTAAAATAGCTTATATCGCAGGTCAATGAAATTGGATACTGGGAAAATATGAAACCTATTATGTGTATTTAGACTTAGGAGTTTAAGATTCTCATTCCTGAAGACTCTTGATGTTCCCATAAAGTGCAAACTCACTGTATTCTGTACCTACATGGTTATTAACATAATATCAAAGGTTGTCAAAAACATTTGAAAGTTTTGGACTGAAGAATTCTTCATGTACAAGACAAGACTTGACATTTCCATACATCTGATTGCCTGTTTTAAAAGCAGAAAAAATGGAATATCGGACAAAACACAAAATTCATAGCAGCTGGTAAGATCCGGACATGGTTTTAAGGTTGTCACGCTGGTATTCATAGTGATTGAATTAGCGAAATCCGAATTACAGTTGGCATATTCAAAAAATATAGCAATTACCTTGGTACTTGTGTTCAATAACAGGCTTGTAAAAATCTCCCAATTAGATGTAATGCATGGAATATTCCATGCTGCAATTATGTAGTTTTCAGTGAATGAATGTTTTGTTCTGGTAGGCTTGCAAGACTCAGGACTGAAAACTGGAGCCAGACAAAAATAAATGTTCATAAAAAGTGCTATAATTTGAGATTTAAGTTAACTGTTTCCACAAGTACTTCTCATTGTGCAAATGTCATAACCATGCAGGTTGACACAAAAAATAACAATTAGCTGTACTTGATCTACTTTAAGAAATCAGAAAGTCAGGTCATCAAAGTGTAAGCACAATAACAAATGATAAAACAGGAGGCCTATCATGTACAACTTCATCACCGGCACAACCTTGCAACATTTTACATAACACTAATTGCTGATATTTCCATAATCGCAGGAATTGAATGCAAAAGAGCTTTTTTTTAAAAAAAAGCCAACAATACCTGCTCCATACCTGATCTATTTAGGTTAATAGCATCAAAAACATAGCAGATATAGGGCCCAATGATGTACAGCATTTCAACATTTTAAAATTAATAAAAGGATGTCCAAGATCTAGGATAAAATCGCCGAATGACTAGAACTGATTTCCTAGCATTGGTTAAGTTTCTTCTTAAAGATCAAACCTAGGCAACCACACAACACTGCGCTTTTAGTCAGTTGTGCTGTCATAGAAGAGGCCATCCAAATGTTCACGAATACAAAATGCAATCAAGGAGAAGGGAAAATAGCTCACAATGCCTTTTTTCTTTAAGTAAAAACTATACAGTCCTGTGCAAGTTCCACCTCCATGCAGATTTTGAATTGGAAATTAGATGGTATGGCATTGTCTGTATAACAGGCATTTAAACAAGATTCTTCCCATTTAAATATTGTGCAATAAATGGAACTATTTGATGCTGAAGTGGACAAATACTTTGAAGCCAACATTATTTTTAAGGAGAATCCCATCTGCATTTCAGTTATAGAAAGATAGGATATATAGATATTTCTTACACAGGTAACCACGTATATGCTTGTGGCACAAAAACAGTTTTGGAACATCTTACATTATTGATCACACCGTAAGGTTACACAGTTCCTAATTCATCCCACCTATGCTTCGTCCCATTTTATAGAACAAAAAGTGTCATCACTTCCCAGGTTTGTGGGATTTTTCAAATCATGCTAACATAGAGCAAGTACTACGGCATATCTGTTGGCACAGGTGCAATATACTAAAAGGTGGTCAAACCCTACTAGGATCTATGGGTTAGATAGGCAGCAACTGTAGTCTTTGGTGGAAGTTGTCTAAGGCAACAGAAAAATGCAATTCCAAAAAAACATTGCTTCTCATGTACATCATTTACCTTTCATTACTTGATCAAAAAGGTAGCTTTAGGACATTCTCATCACATTGTGGTACTGTTGGCATTGATCTCAAATTAATGTGTTAAACCCCAACCAGAAAGTGACTTTTGTGACGTGAACCCCATTTAAAAAAAACATAGGCTTGGTTGAAAAACAAAATCGAATTAATGATCAGCACTTTTCAGAAAGTGCTATTACAATAGTTAATGCAGTGATGCACTTATTCATTCTGAACCAAAAGGAAAAAGAACATTTCTTGAATTAAATCATTCAAGAAATCTTGCAAGATACTAAAGACAGGAATAGAAGCTGATCTGCACATCTGGCAAACAGTGACTTTAAAATGGGTAAACTTGGTAGCATCATAATTAAGCTCATGTGCCCATTGAAAGGACATTTTTAAACTATTGAGGCAAATGAGTTATATGAACAAATATATAAATAAACACCCAGCCTATTAGCCAGGAAATACAAGGCAAAAGGTTAGGCTCAACAAACTCAGCAATATTGACCTTCAGCTGGGTGCAGTCAAACAAAGTCAGTCACATTGTTGTCTAACAACCTAAGCTTCCAAAACAATTCTAGTCATGAATCTGATCAGATAAAGTTGCACTATACAGTTCTACTGGTGTGCACTGAATAAATTAAATAAGTCTTTTAACAAATGAATATTCATCTAAGATTTTAACCATTTAATACAATTTTCAGTGAAATTCACAACCCTTCTGCAAAATGAGGTTCCTGTCATGAAGCAGCTTACAACACAGAATACACAATGTCATCAGCAAGATATCACAGTGTGGTCAGCAGTACCATAGTTGTAGTCTGATTACAAAATGTAAAAGCAGCTCAGAGGAGAAGGTAGAACACCAGATTTGTGCTTGGTTGCACAATGCTTGTTGATGGTGATGCTTCCAGCAAGTGGGAATTTCTTTAAGGGGAACACAAAAACAAAAACTGCATTCCAAAATTGTTTTCTTAGGTCTTATGGCTAATGTTGAATATGGAAGTTGGGCTGTTTGTTGCCTTCAAATCAAAAGTGCTAAGACATCGGTCTTTCTTTAAACCATTCCACAAATTCATCCAATAAGACTGGCCCTGAAAGAAAAGTATCAGAATTGTAATGATTGGTGGTGTAATAAATGCTTTAGGCTCACACGACAGAACAATACACCTTTAAAGCTGCTCTATCTATCCATGTTTTAGCCTTCAAGAAGCCTCATCATCTCAACCTTCACACAATGTCCTATGGTCAAAATTATGGCTGTTAAAATTAGTTCTATACTGTAAATACATTATAGAAATGCAAAGCCTCAAAGGGCAGGGAATGACAAAAACAACAACAAAATTACATTTGTAAAATGCTTTTCACGTCACTGGCACTGAACAGTCAGGGATCAGGAGCATGGCGGAGCAGGGGGGCGCAAATGACAGAATATTTAAAGGCTGTTCCCTATGATGTTCTATCGGAAAACCTTCCAACTGGATCATTTTTCTAAACATCATCAATTCAGATTTTATTTTGAGTCTTTCCAAAAAGAAAACTGCAGTCATTCTGTACACAACGATTGCCTGATAGCCACATCAACCATGAATTTACAATGTTATGACCAATTTCATGCTTGTAATGAAAAGTAAATGGTACAGATTACAACATCATTCTCTACCCCTCCTTCCCAAGTTTTTCATATTTGCTTTGAAACATTAAACTTTCAGGACAGGTAGTATAAATGTCATAGACACCACCATTCGTCTCTTCCCTCCCCCACCAACCGTAACTAGTGCCTTCACAAGTCATCAAGCTCCAGGCCATCCAGCAATGCTGAGCTTTAATTCGAAAAACTGAACCTGTAAAAGTTTCTTTAAAAGGAAATCTTTTTCTAAGATCCTTATCAGAAAGTGCCTGAGAACCAGACTCATCTAGGAGCTACCTTTCCCAGAATGGTGGATAAGATTCTGTCTGAAGCACAAACAACGTTCCAGAGTGAAATTGTCGTACCTACACTTAAGAAGGTAGTCTTGGCAAAACCCCAAACTACTGAGGAATCTGTGATTTTAGTGGCACTTAACTTGGTGCTTTGGGTGATCAAAGTGTATAATAATAATAATCCTCTCTTTTGATATAGAGCCTTATTGTGTCTCAAAGTGCTTCATAGAATATATTGTAAAGTGGATTGACTGTATTTTGTGGGGTAGAGATGTAACCTGGAAGGATTAAGATAGATTCCATTCTCGTGTGGATTGCGTGGAGCAGATGTGGGTTTATATGAATTTGCAGAATGTCTTAAGGCTCATGGGAATATCCACTTACATTGCACACATTGATTTTTGTAAGGCTTGCAACCTAGTGGCTCAACCATCTTGAAGAAACTGAAAGCTACAAGTACATGGCCAAATCTTGGAATTAATCCAGGGTGTGCATTTCAGTTCACAGTTCCACGTAAAGATTGATAGGTTAACTCAAAAAAGGGCTGAGGCAAGATTGTTCACTGTCACTCATTCTCCTCCCATTCTCAGTGCAGTCCCAAAGGTCAGTGTGTAAGCGAAATACACTTACAAGTACAATGTATTAATCAATAATGCAATCATAGTGCAATGAATTCATCAAAAATACAATGCATTCATCAATAATGTGTTGGATGGCATCAAGTGGGACCTATTTTAGGCATTTCTGGTTGTCTTGCAGTGCTTTGGTTTCTAGATGTTTGGTTGGCAGCCTCACCCGTGTGATACATTCACCATCTTGGACACTAGGCTAATTTTGTGGGACATTGATGATGATGGTATTGTATGGTATTATAGCTCAAAGTAAGGAGGAAACCTTGAGGATATTGATTGGAAGATATCAGAGGCATCTAGCTTGATTTTAGATCTGTATCAATTTATGATATTCTCTACCCCAGAAGGCTGTGGATGCTCAGTCATTCAACATATTCAAGACTGAGATCGATAGATTTTTGAAAACTAAAGGGATTAAGGGAATATGGGGATAGGGCAGGTAAATGGAGTTAGGTTAGATCAGCCATGATCTTATTAAATGGCGGGGAAGGCTCAAGGGGCCGATTGGCCTACTCCTGCTTCTATTTCTTATGTTCTTATGTATCAATAACATAATTTGGTGGATAACAACTTTTGCTTACAGTGTCTTTTGGGACTGAATTTTTTGACTTAGAGGCAAGAGTGCTGCTACCCACTGCCAGGTTGACACAATTGTGCCATGGCTGTTTACGAGATCTTGATGCACACTGGCTATCGTTTTATAGTAATTATTTTTAAAGTACTTTGAGGTGTTTTTGATGTCATAGGTGCAATATTAAGCACTGCAGGAAAATAGGGGGAAAACAAAATCTTAGGGTAGAGAGTCACCCCTGCCAGTTCTTCTTTGCAACATTGATAAAAGTTGGTCAGTCCCCTGCTTATGTTCACAACCATAGATCCTCTGGTCAATACATAAGGGGAAAATAGACATATAAACAATCAACTTATTGTTAAAAATGCATAACTGATATACTTACAGGCCCCATCTTCATCATAGTTGCTAAGATCAAGGTTAATTGTTCTGCTAAACTCGAGTACGTTGCACCACTGGTCCTTATTGATCACTTTGTACTTGGATTGCTGTATAGAACATAATGTAAAACCCTATAGAATCACGTCACAAAGTGGATTCTGATAAAAACAAAATTGAAGCAGAGGTGTACTTTCTTTCAGCCATTGTGAAAATGTAAGTCACTGCATTTTGCACTGCACCTAACTTGCTGGGGCACATTCATTGTATTAGGGAAAATTCATGTTATGTTCATTTCATCAATGTCAGTTGATATTGCACCTGGTGTGGTGCAATGATTAAAGAATCACTAAGCATTTACAGGCACATAACACATTTTGAACTGGGTGCAGATGGAAAATACTTTCACATAGAAATTTAATTCATGAGTAACATTGGCATAATTACATAGCTACAACTAGCTAGTGGAAAAGATTAATATTCTGAATACCTCGAGGAACTGATGAAAAGCATGAAAGAGAGGCCAAGTTTTTCCTAGCAGCAGTCCCAGCATACATTTGGCAGTGTTAATCTCTAAACTACGCTGGTCCTTTTCCTGTTGAGAAAAATAGCCTTTAGAAAGCCTGATGTGCAAGCAGCAGACAAGAAAATAGTCACAAGAAGCATATAGAATTGTGAATTTTAGCTACCGGAACTCAAAGGTACACAAGAATAGCTGTCATAACTGATCAATGTTTCCCTACTTCCCAATAGTAAGTGCTCAGTTTCAGTTTGCTATCTCCCTAAAACCAATACAGTTCAAGAAACAATTTTATGCATCTCAGCATTAACCAATCTAGTGCCCTCAGCAATCAAATACACTGTCATAAAAAAAGTGTAAATTTATAAAGTTAAAAGATAATCTACTAATTATTCTAGACTTGTAAATGAACATTAAAATAGGATTTTTTTTACATTAAAATAGCATAATTAATTAAGTTTATTGATTTCAATTTGGTGAAGCATTCCAATTAAATGAATTATCACAGGAAACCTTTTCTATTGACCAAAAGGGAGTGGTGATAAAATAAGTTCATTCCTCTCACCTTTTTAAAATAACCTTGAAAAGATTATTTTAAATTGCTTAATAATTTAATGGCTTCCTGTTTAGAATATTTTTCCAAATTAAACTACTAAAAATTGTACATATTTATGGTTCTTGTTTGGCTTGTTTCTCATCATCCTGGGCGACTTTAATCTGCACTTCACCCCCTCCTGCTCCATCTCCTCAGACTTCTCTTCCCTGCTCTCCTCGCTCAACCTCTCCCTCCACATCAACTCCCCCACTCACAGTCACGGCCACTCACTCGATTTGGTGATCACCCGGGGCCTCAGTGTCTCGGATGTCACTATCACCGACAAGGCCGTCTCCGACCACCATTTCATCTCCTTCACCACCTCCACCCCCCTCCCCACCTCCACCAGACCCACCACCATCTTCGACCGCCCCTGGAAGAAGTTACCCCCACAATCCCTAACCGCTGCCTTGGAGTCCTCTGAACTCCTCTCCCTCTGGCCTTCAACCCTCACTGACCCCTCTTCTCCTCTCAGCCTCCTCCACAACACCCTCTCCTCCACACTTGATACTCTTGCCCCCATCACCTCCCGTACTGTCTCCTACTCTCGCTCCTCCCCCTGGTTCACCACCCACCTCCGCTCACTGAAAAGCCAGGTGCGGGCCGCTGAACGCACCTGGTCAAATCTGGCCTAACGGTCCACCGACAAATCTGGCTGGACCTCCTCAAAATCTACCGCTCCACTCTAGCCTCGGCCAAATCGTCCTTCTACTCCAGGATAATCCTGGAGGCGAAGAACAACCCCAGGCTACTGTTTTCTACCACATCCCGACTCCTCCGTCCCCCCCGCCACCCCGCGCAGGTCATCTCCTCCAACCTTCACTGCGAGGAGATGCTGGATTTCCTTGAATCCAAAATCAAGGGAATTCGCTCCGCGGTCACTTCCCCTCCAACATCCACCCATCCCCCACCCTCTCCCTCCCACACTCCGACTCCTACCCATCCTCCCCTACACACTTTCGTACCCGTTTCCCCACCCTCTGTCACCAAACTCATCCTATCCCTGAAACCCACCACCTGCTCCCTTGACCCCATCCCCACTCCACTCCTTATCTCCCAGCTCCACCTCCTTGCCCCACATATCACAGACATCGTCAACCTGTCCCTCTCCTCTGGCTCTGTTCCCATTCCCTTAAAAACTGCCACCATCACTCCCACCTTGAAAAAACCCTCCCTTGATGCGTCGCAGCTATCAAGCTACCGGCCCATCTCCAACCTCCCCTTCCTGTCCAAGGTCCTGGAACGAGTTGTCGCCTCCCAACTGCGCTCTTTCCTCTCCACCCATTCATTATTCGAACCCCTTCAGTCGGGTTTCCGTGCTGCCCATAGCACAGAAACTGCCCTGGTCAAGGTCACCAATGACATCCTGACCATCTGTGACCAGGGCTCCCTCTGCCTCCTCGTCCTCCTCGACCTATCGGCAGCATTCGATTCGGTCGACCACTCTATCCTCCTCCACCGCTTGTCCTCCCACCTCAACCTTCAAGGCCCTGTCCTTGAGTGGTTTAGGGCGTACCTCTCATCACTTTGTTTCCATGAATGGTTTTTCCTCCGGCCCCCGCACTGTCTCGTGCGGTGTCCCTCAGGGCTCTGTCCTCGGTCCCCTCCTCTTCACCCTCTATATGCTCCCCCTTGGTGACATCATCCGCAGACATGGGGTTAACTTCCACATGTATGCGGATGACACCCAACTCTACCTTTCCTCCTCTACCCTCAACTCCACGACCACCGATGTCCTGACAGCTGCCTGTCCGACATCGAGTCCTGGACGAGAGACAACTTTCTTCAGCTCAACGTGCGTAAAACTGAGGCCCTCCTGATTGGCTCACGTCAGCGCCTCCGCACCTCAGGCGCTGACAGCATCAGCATCCAAGGCTGCACTCTCCACCTCTCAAAGCCAGTCAGGAACCTCGGGATTCTGTTCGACCCTGAGCTGTCCTTTCTCCCTCATATCCGCGCCTTCCATCACCTCTGGAACATCGCCAGACTACGGCACTACCTCACCCCTCACGCTGCTGAAACTCTGGTCCACGCCTTTATCACCTCAAGGCTGGACTATGGGAACTCTCTCCTCGCCGGCCTTCCCGGCACCTCCCTCCACAAGCTGCAGGTCATTCAGAACTCTGCAGCTCGTGTACTGTCCCGCACCAGGCTTCGGACCACATCACTCCCACCCTCGCTCGCCTCCACTGGCTCCCCATCCCCCAGAGGATCGAATTCAAGATCCTCATCCTCACCTACAAGGCCATTCACGGCCTCGCTCCCTCCTACCTCTCCGACCTACTATCCCCTACCTACCTGCCCGTACCCTCCGTTCCTCTGGCTCCGGTCTGCTCCACATCCGCCGCCCCAACCGCCCTACCATCGGTGGCCGGGCCTTCAGCCTCTCAGCCCCGAGGCTCTGGAACTCTATCCCCCAGTGCCTTCGCCGCCTCCTCCCTTTCCTCCTTCAAGGCCGGTCTCAAGACCTTTCTCTTTGACCGTGCCTTCAGCTCCCCTCTCGACTCTCTACCCCCTCCTCGCTCCCTCCCTTCCCTCCCCTCACCCTGACCATTTCCCCCCTGCTCGGGTCCTGACCCAACTGTACAGCGCCTTGGGACGTCCTCCCGACGTGAAAGGCGCTCTATAAATGGAATCTTGTTGTTGTATGAACTACGTACACTAGTGGTTAGAGCACTCGCCTTGCAAGTGAGACACCTGGGTTCAATTCCAGGCAGAGCGTTACCTTGGGCAAGTTTCCTTACTCCACACAGAGCCTAATAATAATCCCTCCAAAACAAATCAATAATAAATTGGTCATTTTCAATCCACGACTGTTTGTGGGACATTGCTGTGCGCAATTGGCTGCCGCGTTTCGCCCACAAATATACAGTCAATTCACTTTACAGCACATTCTGTGAAGCGCTTTGAGACGTCTAGAAGATGTGAAAAGCGTTATATCAAATACAAGGATTATTATTATTATTATTATTCCCCCTCCACCAACCCCCCACCCATCACCAGTGGGATGCATGTTGTTTAACAGCTTATTAAGAATCACTTACCCGTGCAAAATCAAATGCATATCTGTAAATAAGTTTAAAGTTCGTAGGCTCATTTAACAATGATTTCATGTAATCAAGTGAATTTCTCAGTTTCTCTGTGGCATCACATCTAAAAATAGAAAAAGAAACAGTAGATTAAATCTGTTGACAAAGATTAATTTATTTAGAGTTATTTAATAATAAAAATCCCTACTTTTCCAGAGAATTTCTCTTATGAGGGCCATCTGGGAAATGGAAATGCCAAAGAGGGGATACATCATTGTTCTATTCTTTTACTTTGTTTTTTAGACAAGTCCTGCATCTTGCCTGGAGATGCAAGTACATAGTATAAAAGGTACACAGTTCAACAGTGCAGAGCACAGTGGTGAGCTTCATTTGCTTTTCTTTGGGGCTAAACATACTTTTCAAATATGGATCAAAGATGCTACTAATCTACAGAGGGATACAAGCACAATCATACACTAGCTGCTCCTAGCAAAATGAAGCCCTAAGATGGGTAAATTAAACAAAATCAAAAACATTTCATACTGTAACAAGGTCATCCCCTTCAGCCATTCTTGCAGAGTAAAGTAGCCCATGCTCTGAGCATCCAACTTCCAGGCAAGAACCAACATCACCACCTAAAAAGAACCACAGTTCAAAATATGAAGTGGAGATTTAGAAAGGATACGTTAAACATCATTATACAATATCATAATGTAATTCAAAATTATAATGATACGTAGCAGTTGCGTTTTTTTCACCCTCTATAATCCATCTTATTTCCATTTGGTCAGCTGTCTGTCCAAGACGTGCAGAAACCCATCATCATGCTTAAGAGAATCCAAACTAATTAAGAGTTCCACATCTGTATGCCATCTACACCGTCCTCCTGCCCATAGTTCTAATTCACACCTATACCAATTCAGCCACGGTTCCATCAATTGAAATACAAAATACTGTGTTTAGATCATTTCCTAACCTGATGCTCACGTAGTGCAAAAAGCATATTTTTTAAAATCAAAACCACACTAATGGATTCCATTCCATAGAATACTGAATTTAATAAACACCAGAGTCAACAAGCTGGTCAAATTTCTTGAGAACTAAAGTTGAAGATAATTTTCTAAGAATAGATTTTTTAAAAATTGACGAAGATTTCCCCCCAAAAAAGGATTGGAATGCTCAAAGGATCTATTGGGAACTAGCCAAAACTGACTAACAAAAAGAAAAAATGAGGATACTATACAGTTTCGCCCACAAAATATAATCAATTCACTTTACAGTATATTCTGTGACGCCTTTTGAGACATCTCAAAGACAAAACTAGGTGCTTTGATTCGCCCGGCCGGGAATCGAATCCAGGTCTCTCGCTTGCGAGGCGAGTGCTCTAACCACTGAGCTACAGGACTCCAAGCTGGCGCATTAATCCCAATATTGAAAGAAAAGTACATGAACACAAACTCATTGTAAAGGACAATGCAAATCAAGTTATTGAATGCTTTTCAAAAGAAACAGTTGACTCTCCATCAGAAAAAGAAGCCAAAATGAATTTACATTCAAATTAAGAGCCTAAACTCTATTTCTCAAAATAAAACCAGAAGTTGTAGACCCCAGTAAGATAATCTGTTTTCTATTATGTATCATGTATAAACAGGTGCACAGAGTTCCCTTAATAATGTAAATACAAGTTTACATTTAGATAGCTCCTTTCCCTTCCCAATGCACTGAACAGTGTTGGGCTGGCACCTGAGCTGGGATTGGGAGCCAGAGAGGGTGGGGAGGGGAAAGACGACCAAAAGGACGGTCATTACTGATGAAAAGAATGTATTAATTTTATAATTAACCGCCTTTAATTGGTTAATTAAGCACAACCACTTCCCATTGACTACATATCCACTGTATGTAAAAATGCACAAGTGTTTGAATGTTACATTAACTGACGTGTTCTCAATCAATTTCATCACTCACTCAATTTAACTTTCACAAGGACTCACATTTTCAGGTTCAACTCCAATGTCTTCACAGAATTTCTCCATGTCTTCAGGACCTATGACATCATCACTACCTGTATAGTACAAACATATTTTGTTGCAATATTCTTCTCAATTAAGACTGCTGTGGAATTTTACCCTAGGAGAGGGAACAATGAGTCCACAGACAGAAGTTAAAATTAGTAGACAGAAGTTTGCTAAATAAATTGATAAATACAGCATAAATAATCGTTTTGCACAGAAAAAACCCACTAATTTAAATTATTCTTCTGCATATCTAAAAATGCTTACTCTTATGTGGTCTAAAACAGTCAATTTTAAACAAGATATATAGCTTTTAAAAAGGTGATCACAATTTCTAACAACTCCTTTATAGAGCCTGACAATAATTGCATTAAACAATGGATATTCACTCTGCAGGTTACTGAGTGAAGAATCCATTGGGCAGGTCTGCAGGCAAACAACATGTATTATACTTACTTGCATATTCATAGAACCACTCCAAGCATCTCTTATTTGAGAACCCTTCCTCTTCAGACTTCATCCTAGTTGAATCTTGTTTCCTGTACATAGTGCTATCGAAGGAAAGCAGAAACAAAACCAATTATAAACACCTCAAACAGTTCAAGCGCTAAGCAGCTACTTCATTAACACAAATACTTTCTGGATGCCCACAGTACATTAAGTATCAAGGAATGGGAGGTAAATTGCCAATGCCATTAGAATACAGTTCTGGACAATGAGGGGATCACTGGGTCATCATAAGCCATTTTCAAAAAGCAAGGAACATTTTATAGCATCATTACTTCAATTGGTTTGCAATTTAAGCTAATTATTCTAACAGTTTTAAAAAAGTACATTATGAATACAGTGGGTAATCTAGTATATAAAAAGGTGAATGTTATTTCAAAGCTCACCAGATGTGAGCAGAATACGGGAGTAATTTTTTTGCAAGTTTTTTTTGCAATTCTATGTAGATGCTCAGAGATACATTGCCAATGGGGAGGGGAAGGAGAGAGGATATGGGAAAGAATTTTACAAGAAGTTCTCAGGTTGACTAAGGTATGGTTTTAAATTAGTTAGTATTGGAGGAGAAACAAATGCATAAAAAAACTGTTCCATTTAGGGTACTTTCTTCCCATCTTCCCCATTTCTAAAATAAAACCCAAAGGCACTTAAAATATGTTGGTACATTGTTTAGTGAATATTTTATTTTGCTAGTCAATTTGGAGATGTTATTTTCTATTCTGCTGCTAAACAGCTCTGATGTAGGTAATGGAAATAACAGCATGGAAGGCAGCCATTCTGCTCATCAAACTGGTGCTAGTTTATCCAATGAAACAAATTAATCTTAATTTCCTATCCTTCTACTTTCTTCCTCTTCAAATATTTGCTTTTAAAATTGTATAATCTCAGTCTTAATAGAGTGTGGCAAAGCATTCCAGATTATAACTGTGAAAAAGTTTTCTCAATCTCCTCTACAACTCTTGCAGCAACAATTCTGATCTTATTTGCTCTTCAGTGTTTTTCTTTAATTAATTAATCTTTATATTCCAGATTTCACCTCTAAATACACACTCTTCTTTACAGCAAAATCCTGTGAAATTCTTCAAGACACTCTGACGATATAAGATGCTATATCAAATGCAATTTTTGTTAAAAAAAGATTTACCAAGTAGAAATTGTCCCAGGTTTGCAAATTTATCATCATTATTATAACTTCCCATCCAAATATCAACTGTGGACCTACCCAGGTACCTTTTCCTGGCTCCGACAATTTTTTCTGCAATGAATTCAGATTTCCACTCAGATCTTCAACTGTGGGCTGGCTGACCAATGTCTTGTTTGCAAGGGTGGCTTCATTGATTTCAATAAACATTGGCATTTTTGAATTAATCTTTTACTAGAGCTAAAGGAGATAAAAAGATTGCCATCTTGTGCTAACACACTGAATAGTAGAGAACTATCATGGCAGATCTCATGAGCTGAAATTATCCAGCAAAAACGGTTAGAACCACAGAAATTTATAGTACAGAAGGCAGCCATTCAGCCCACCATGGTCTGTGATGGCTCTTTTAAGCGCAATCCTTTCAGTTCCATTTACACGCTCTTGCTCCAAACCCCTGTAGTTTTCTCCTTTTTAGATATTTATCTGGTTCCCCTTTGAAAGCTAATATGTATTCACTGTAAATGCTAAATAAATATGTGCATATACAGCACATAAGAAGTGACATTGGTGGCAATCTGATGACCTGGAAGATACATTTTTAAAAAAATAGTGAGAATCAGCTACTGAACAAGGAGTGAGTCAGCTGACTGCGCATATATAGTCAAATGGTATTTCTAAAAAAATTTATTTAAAAGTAATGGGGATGGGGGGTAGAAGTATGAAATACTGAACAATTGTCCTATTATAACAGTGATTGGAATTGAGAAAATTGCAATCCATGCTGCAACAACCTGCGATAGGCAATTTTACTCCACATACTCGCAGCCAACTGGCTCGCTCCTTGCCCTATGTGGCAAATTCCCACTTTAAAAAAAGCAGGGCATCTTCCAGATCATCAGCTTGCTGCCAATGTTGCTTCATATGTGCTGTGTTTGCACAAAGCAGAAGTGATGTTGGCAGAAGCACGCTGACCTGGATGTTGGACCTTTTGAATGCATGGGAAGTTAAAATAGCCAACTTCTGGATCAGCAGGTGTCCACGAATATCATGTAACTAACATCAGTGACTATCTAATGACCCAAAAGTTAACCATTTTAGTACAAGAGCAGGTCAGCACATGGGAAGCAAGAGTGATGGCTGTGGGCATGCACGGGCGATGGCTATGGGCATGCACGGTGAATGAGGTCCACACTGCAACCATCTTAAAACTGAACCTGTGCTATAAAGAAGCTCTTATCTGCACTGCATATGCCTTACACTGAAAATACAGTATTCAATAGTAGTGAGCAGGTGATATCCTTTCTAGATGTACTAATTTCTAGATTTACTAGATGTGAACTAAGATAACAATTGAATAAAGAATCTAGTGTTTCCCTGTGATTATAATGAAGAAGCCCATAGTTCAATTAAAAGCATGGATGGAGAATGACACAATCCATAAACAGCCTCATTATAACGCAGTGTTTGGGAATTCACAAATTCCTAACCTAGGCTATAACAAGGCATACTAGCTAGTTTCACTCCTCATGCAACCTGCCGGCCAGTTCACATCCCACACATAGGCCGACTCCCATGTTAAAACAAAAATGGCCAACCACTGCATCATCAAGTCACTGCCAAATGTACTGTTTGGTGCGTATGCAACACTGGTGAAAACCCGATGTCCTGGAAAAAGCAGTGGAAGCTAAAACTGGACTTTGTTTGTTATTTTGACACTGACATAGTTTCTTGCTTCAAGCAAAGTAACTTTGGTGATGACCTGATGACTCTGAAGTTGGCCATTTTAGTGGAAATGCCAGTAGGAAGTGAATAGGTTGTCTGCATGCATGATAGTTAACTGGATCCACAGTGCAACCATTATGACCAAATTTGTGTGATAAAGTACCTTCCATCAGGGCTGCACTGTACAAAGAAATCATGAATTAAACTCATTCATCATAATACTGCATGAAACTAGAATAGTGTCGGTTTGGCACAGTTCACAGCTCACGTATTGATCAGGAGGTTCAAGCTCCATGTTAGAACTTGAGCTCACAGCGTACATCTAGTACAGAGAAAAGCACTGTTGGATGGGTCACTTTCCACATAAGACATTAATCCGAGGTTTTATCTGTCTATTCAAATGGATTTTAAAGATCACATGATACAACCTAAAGCGAAAGGAGATCTGTTGGTGTCCTGGCCACCAATTCTCCAGATTAAGTGGTCATTTACCTCAGATGTTAGTGAGACATTGCACGGTATGAATGACTGCAAAGTTTGTCTAAAATACATTACCTAATCCTACTCACTTGTAAAGATACAATTTTTTTTCTACACAATATACAAAAGTGCAAGCTGTCTTCTTTCTTGCACATAGACCAATTAATTGTTCACATAAACTCAAATGGAAATCAGTCCAATCCTTTTCTTTGTTTTTATCTTTTTTAGGAGGGATCGGGTGAGAGTAAATACTCCATCGAAAACTTGTGGAGCATGGAATTTAAAATCCCAGTAATTACAATGATGTTTAGAATGATATTCACTTCACAGAAAGAAAACTCAAATCTCTACAAATATACTTGTATTAAATACTCTGTAAAAAGCTGCAAGGATCAGATTGTGATGGGAGTACAGAGTTTTGTGCGGTTGAACTAGGAGTCAGTTCTAGCATAAACGGAAAATGAATTCAGCTGGAATTCGAGATCTCAGAATTCAACTGGAACAACTACTCTGTGGGAAACATGCCTCTAACTAATAGACATCCTACCAGACATCCAATTGTCAGAACTATAGCTCACCATGCACTTGTAAATGAGAAAGACATCTATCAAGCATTTTAATAATCTGCTTAAAATAGATCTGGTAAGTTTGAGGTGGATTTGATGACAGCACCAAAGATAGCTAACTTCAGCATAAGTCTCTCATTTCCAGAAGAGCAGGAAAAGGATTTATATATATATAATTTTGGGTAGATAAACAATTAACACTTTAGTTTTCATCAAATACGTTTTAAAAGCTCTTTTGCTGATTCTACTAAAACCAAACTCATGAAGCAAAGTTGCAAATGAGAGAGCAACTGGGAAAACTGTCCGTACTCATCAGGCTTCCGCTTCTGGATGAAATGTGGAGCACTCTCTCCTCCTCTTCCACCATACACAAAAAGTAAAGACAGCTACACAAATATTGAAAGAGTCAAAAATCAATTATTTTGACCAAGCACGGCTTTCTCTCATAATATTCCAAGAAATTAAAGTGTGGAGAGTTAAGTAGTGAGCAGATTATGTTGTTCTACCAATGTTTCTTAAAGCAATGGACATTCATTAGGTTCCCATTCTCTTTCTTCTCTCATCTTCCCTCGTCTACAACGACAACAAGTTACATTTATAGAGCGCCTTGTCCAGGACTTGATGTCGGACAGGCAGTCGGTCAGGACGCCAATGGTCTTGGAGTTGAGGGTGGAGGCAGAGCGATAGAGTTGGGTGTCATCCGCATACATGTGGAAATTTAACCCATGTCTGTGAACGATTTCACCAAGGGGGAGCATGTAGAGGGTGAAGAGAAGGGGACCGAGGACAGAGCCCTGAGGAACGCCATACGAGATGGTGCGGGGGCTGGAGAAGGAGCGTTTGCAGAGACGAAGTGGAGGCGGTGTGAAAGGTAGGACCTGAACCAGTCAAGGACGGAACAGTCTAGTTATGGTGCATAGAAACTAATACAGTAAAACTCGCACAAGGCTTATCTTTATAAATCATATAATTATCCAAGTTGTACATTGACCCAAGTCTAATTCAGTTTCCTATGAAAACCACTTAGATTTCTTTGCACTACTCATTAATTACCTCCTAACTCGTAATGCTACTCACCATCGCTCCATTACTTCTACACTTACTGGCTGCATTGAATCGCGGGATATGTAGTCTTCATCCATCGCCGCATGAGGAGAAGAACTTCATTTCCCCTGATTCACTGCAATTGCAACGCTTGCTGGTCAGTGCGGATGCGGCGACAGGTCATGATGCATTAATTCATGGGAAATCTATCAAGACATCTATCAAGCATTTTAATAATCTGCTTAAAATAGATCTGGTAAGTTTGAGGTGGATTTGCTGACAGCACCAAAGATAGCTAACTTCAGCATAGTGTCATTTCCAGAAGAGCAGGAAGAGGATTCAGTGTATATATTTTTTATATATATATATAGAATATATATAAAAAATATATACACCGTATCATTTTGGTAGATAAACAATTAACACTTCTGTTTTCATCAAATACATCTTAAAAGCTCTTTTGCTGAATCCTAATAAAACCAAACTCATGAAGCCAAGTTGCAAATGAGAGAGCATTTGGCCATCACCGCATTCGCACTTCCTGACTGCAGTGACAATCCTACCGCATGCGCACGTACCAGCTGCATTGAATTCTGCTTGCACAATGTAGATTGATTAAACCGGATTTTATACATTTATGCAGTTTGCCTGCAACTCAGACTTTTTGTAAGTCATATTAAATGTTATGGTCCCGACTGATGTGACATTATGAGAGCCTATAAACCAATGGTGGCTTTCCAACTGGAAGAAATTGATTTTGTGGACTGAATTGAGTGCTGGCTTCTCTTCTACTTAAAGGAGTAGCTTGTGAATTCTAGGATTGTGAGCCTTTTCATTTACTTAACAGCAAAAATAATTAATGCACTGTACTAGAGACAGTAGTGTTGATAAAAACAATAAGCAAGCACCACTTTATCTCATGATTTGTATCAGGTATAGGAACAAAGCAACAGGGTTGAAATTATACTCATCGATTGCAAAACCAGAAGAGCTGGTAGATATGCAGGACAATGTTAGAAATTAAATTATACTATGATTAACATTATACCACAGAAAAGGAATTAGAGCCACTTATAATAAAACGAATACAGATGTCCGATCTCAAGTTGAGGACAAATGTCACAAGAATGATTTAGGGGAAAACATAGTGCCACTTGATTATTTCTTAAAACTTTTTTGGGAGGGGCGGAAGAGACTCAATTGATAATTTTGGTTAAGACCAAGAGGCCAATAATAATTTTAGCAAGAGGTAACATCCACCTTTGACAACACTAAAAACATACCCATCATGCCTGCTTTTTTTAGCGGTTAGATCATCTGCTACTGTGGGTCTCCTCTTTTTCCTGGGTGGCATTCCTTTGTTACAGCAGTCGGAGGGGCAACTGCAAGACCGAAGATTTCCTGCATAAATAAAAATTAAGATACAAATAACCACTTGTCTATATATACATATACTAATACACAATATGGCAATTACGCTTTTCAGCGCCCAATATATCCCTGGGGCGCATCACTCAAGGGCATAAAATTTGCAGAATTTCAAAAAGATGTACATTATTGTAGGACAAAGGCACACAAAATATGTAGTTTGAGCTGGACTCGAATGTCAGAGTTCTTTTCTTTTTGAGAAAATCTTACATTCAATGATTTATTATACCCTCAGCTCAATCTCACCTCAAATATTAGGAGATGGATTTGTAAGCTAACCAGAACTGTGGTTAATAACAAGGCATAATTAAAAAAAAACTGGGTTTCTTGCATGTTTCTAGTACGTTGTGACTGTTCTATGACCAACAGAAGACGATCACCTTAAAATCAAGCGCAAAGTAAAATAACTTAGTTCACAGACAAAGTACTTTAATAGAAGCCTATTCAGGGCCAGAAAATTTCCACAGATATCACACAAGAATCTACCATTTTAATTTTATTTTTAAGATCATAAACTAATTACTTCACGCAGATGCGCTGTAAAAGGCATCACATGAAAAAAACGAGTACATCTGGAAATGTGTTTGTTGAAATTCTGGTTAGCATTGTATGTAAGGTGAAAAGTCCCACACAATTATAATGGGGAAATCCCATGAGCGCCAATATCAACTAACAATTCAGTCCTTAGCTTTAGCTAATAGGAACAAAACTGGGTCTTATCAAGAAAATCCTGGCAGAACCCAAAGGATACCCTAGCCCATGCTTCACTACTGTTCCGGAATATAAGACCTTACATTACTAACTCTTACAAGTTAGTAATGTCAGAGAGCACAATACTTTGTCACATGGTTTGGGGGGAGGAGGGAAGAGAGGAGGAAGGTGGGAAAAGAAAGTCATCCTAATTTCTTTCAGAAGGAGTCCTGTAGCTCAATGGTTAGAGCACTTGCCTGGCAAGCGAGAGACCTGGGTTTGATTCCCGGTAGGGCGAAACCTTGGTCAAGTTTCCTTACTCCACACGCCTGATAATAATCCCTCAAGCAAAAAAAAATAATAAATTGGTCACTTCAATCCACGACTGTTTGTGGGACACTGCTGTGCGCAATTGGATGTCACGTTTCGCCCACAAATATACGGTCAATTCACTTTACAGTATATTCTGTGAAGCGCTTTGAGACGTCTCGAAGACATGAAAAGCGCTATATCAAATGCAAGGATTATTATTATTAATTTAAAAAAATTAAGTCACCAAACTGCAGCATAGTAGTCGCCATACAAACTAGGCGTTTTGTCCACAAAAGAGTCACTTATATTTTACAGTATATTCTCTGAAGCGCTTTGAGACGTCCCAAAGACATAAAAGGCGCTATATCAAATGCAAGGATTATTATAAACACCGTTTCCTCCAATTGTTAACTGTCCACATAGTAGGATGTAAAGATCAATGTTCTTAAAGTAAAAACTGTCACTCTGACCCACAAGATTTGATGTTCCAATATAACCTACAGGTGTGGCACACTTCTGGTTACCAGCAAGAGTCGATATTTGCTTTGGATTCATTAAGTGGACAGACTCTGGTAGATGGATTTTAATGTAAACAAGAAGAAATGCACATTGAAACAAGAGAGATCCCAAGTACACATACAATAGTGGAGATTGGAAACTAAAAATTTGGATGCAATTACTGACCATTCGCAAATGAGGTGACATTTGGAATACTGTACACTTGTGTAGAAATTGATTCACCAGTTAGGGTTTGGAGTAAAGGATAATTTGAGGACATCAGAATAAATTACCAAACCTTAAACAAGACTAGGGATTAAAAGGAATTGCTCTATTTTTAAATAGGGGTGAAAAAAGTTTGAGCTGTACCATTTTACAATAAGCAAAACACATCTGTTACGAACAAGATTGAGTAATATGATAAAAATAGATACAAATGTACCCACTGTTCTTTCAACTTATTAGAAAAATGGAAAATATGCTAATTAAAGGTTAAATGGATATTTTGGAATTAAGAATGAAGATTTGCTGAACAGGAACAGTGAAGTTCACCATTCAGTCTGTGAAACTTGTTGAGATCAAATTGCACATCTTTAGCATCCAGTTTAATCCAATTGCATCTAATAAGTAGATTACTGCAAGTGGTAGAAGTCTGCATTGAGAATGATGTCCACCTAACTAGAAACTATGAACCAAATTTGCCCACAAAACTATGGCATAATTTAAAATCCAATTGTTTTGTCACAATACACTTACAAATAATCGTAGACATTGATCCTATCAATAAAGGGGTTGTTGATGTTACCAATAACAAATGTCTTCCAAAGAAAGAGGAAAGATCAAATATTCATCACCTGCAGACCACACCAAGAGATGGGAAAATTAATGACAAAGACATGAAGTTTCCCATTAGATTTAATTAAAAGAACTGTATACCTAATATCAAATAAAAGTTGTTGCCAATAAAAAGACAGGCTACAACTATGAAGCAGCCTTCAATGTTTTGTCCATTCTGTAGGTTTAAAGCTGGTATTCAGTAATAATGGCAACATTCTTCCAGGAGACATCTTTCCTAACTTTGCTCAGAATGTTATATATAGATAAAGGTTGAATTAACATGCAAATGAAGATTTCTGCTTTAAGAAACCAGTGAGCCATTTCACTGGTTTAGAATAGACCAGTCATTAGCGAGTTAATAGAAAACTGCGCCTGCAATTTTTCTGTAGAATCCGCAACAAACCCCTCCGTTACAAACACGTTGTGGTACACCGAGGATCATTCCCTCCGCTATAAACATCCCTCTCGATGAGCATGCGCAGTGCAAGCGGGAAATGCGCTTTGCTCACCCCAAGGGCCCACTGTTGAGATTCTCTGTGTGTCTTTCTCCTGTCTCCGTTAAGCGCAGAGATGCTACCCTGCGTGGAGGGTGCCACGTGATCGGATGGGCCAAAAGTTAATGCTGTTGTCTGTACGTCTCCCTCTGTGGCCGTGGGGGACCCTGAGGGGTCCCTCCCCCGGTGGCTGCCCGTCACCCCACACCCCCATGGCCGCCCGTCTCTCTCGGTCGGTGGCTGCGAGTGTGTGATCTCTCAGTGTCTGTGTGCCATGGAAGGCAGGAGGTGGCGAGCTTGTCAAGCAATGCTGGTGTTTGGCAGATCTCTATCCCTTCAAACATAGTGCAAGTAATGTAGTTCTCTTGTACGTAGGAGAATAGATAAGCTGAACCTGGGTCAAAAGTACAGCTTTTGGTGTTCAAGTTCAGCAAACAGAAATCATTAAAAATGGTCTCCAGTGTAGTATTATGGAGGATTACGTTGGCTCAATATCTGAGGGTTAATTTTAGTCAATGTGGACCCAAACACCTCACAAGATTAAATGGATGAAGAAGACCTTTTGGCCCATCCAATCACATCCCTCCAGAACACTCATCCTCCCATTCCCCTTATCAATGCATCGAGCTGCTTTTTAAATTGGTCCAGTGTCCTGGCTTCCACTACCTTTCCAGCCATTGATTAAACACAAACTTCCTGATGTCTTTCCTGAAGTTAACCTTTCCAACACTATACCTATATCCTTGTTCCACTGTATTGATCTAATAATAATCATTGCATTTGATATTTGGGTTTACATTTTCAATCCCATTTAAAATTTTATATACCTTATACTCTCTGAACTGTTGTCGCTTAGCAAGTGCTATTCTCAAACCTAGCATTTATCTTACATGAAAGAACCATATCATAGAAGGGTATGAATTCCAAAGCCATATCAAGGCCCACAAAGGCTATATAAATATTAAAGAGGTTATGGAGCAAGAGGAAAGAAAAAAAACACTTTAATGTCAGAGCAAAGAAAATTCCTAATCCTAAGGATCTGAAATTATCAACTACATCAAGTACTGAGTTGCCTTGTCTGTAATCTAGATTCAATGAACTCTAACAAAGGCAGAGTATCCAACAGAAGCCTTCTGTTCTTAAACTACTTCAAACAAGGTTGACTTGCACTTCAACTGATCAGCCCGGATGCTGGTCATCATTTTGGAACCTTTGGAGTTGCAAGATGTGAATGTTCAAGAAAATGACTGGAAGAAATAATCAAGTTGGCACTTAGACTGTTGCTCTCCTGACAAGATAATTACTCCCTTTATTTTTTTCACACAGCGAGTTGTTCGGATCTGGAAGGCATTGCCTGAAAGGGTGGTGGAAGCCGATTCGATAACAGCTTTTAAGAGAGAAGTAGATAATTATTTGGGGAGGACAAGTTTGCAGGGCTATGGGGAGAGAGCGGGGGAAACGGAACTGATTTAGGTAGCTCTTTTCAAAGAGACGGCACAGACATGATGGGCCAATTGGCCTCCTTCTGTGCTGTATAATTCTATGATAGTACAGTGGGAGATCTAGAGGGCAAAACTGTACCAAATTCAGATCCCCAGTTACATTATTGATCCAAGTGTCATTGACTTCCGCACTTTCTTCCCACCCACACCCCTTTCCAAGCACCTTTCAGCAGTTTTCTTTTTACACAAACATCCTCGAAGCTAAACCTATTACAACTGTACGATCTTTCTACTGATTTCATTAATTTAAAAAATAATTGGACTCCCCTCCCCCAACAAGAAGGATTTACAAAGGAGAGTCCTTACCAATAAGATACAGGCCAGGCCATATTGACTTGTAGCAGTGGGTAGTTATATTTTCTACCTGCTGATTTTGCTGTGACTTTTATAACTTTTATAGTGGCTGCTGGAAAGCCCAAGTCTAACACTTCAGATTTCTGGAATGCCATGGAGGGAGTGGGAAAGGTCTTTCTAATTCAGGCTGTTCCGATAGTAAATAGAAGTCAAGTTATATATGAATTCTCCTCCGCATTAAAAGGGAAAAACAGCAATGGCTGGAAATCAAATAAAAACAAAGAATGTAGGAAATTCACAACAGGTCATTTGGCATTTGAAGGAGATAAGAGTAACAAATGTGTGT